GAGCTCCAAGAGAAAGGACTCCAACCAAGACTATACAAAGGGCCTATCCACGGTGTCACAACTATTGTACGGAATGAGGGCCTTGGGGGTATATATCGAGGAATCGGCGCTGCATACATTTACCAGATGATTCTCAATGGATGCAGGTTGGGATTTTACGAGCCTATACGAGAGACCCTTACTGGCGTAATATTCGATGATTCAAAAACACAAAGTTTGGGAATAAATATCTTTTCGGGCGCAACGTCAGGAGTTTTGGGTGCTGCGGCGGGAAGTCCATTCTTCCTGGTTAAGACAAGATTACAAAGTTTCTCACCGCAAGCACCAGTAGGCACACAACATGGTTACAAAAATGCCATGGATGGAATGAGAAAGATTTATACAACAGAGGGGGTAAATGGACTTTACAGAGGAGTAGGAGCCGCCATGGTCCGGACGGGTTTTGGAAGTTCTGTTCAGCTACCAACATATTTCTTTGCAAAGCGGAGACTTGTGAAACACTTGGGAATGGAGGAGGGGCCAGCATTGCACCTTGCAAGTAGTACAGCTAGTGGTTTTGTGGTTTGTTGTGTTATGCATCCACCAGGTAAGCAGTTTTGATTTTGTAAATGTTCTTTATGCTAATTCTCTCAGATACTATCATGTCGCGTATGTACAATCAAACCGGAAATTTGTACTCGGGTATTTTTGATTGCCTAGCGAAGACCGTCAAGACTGAAGGTATCTTCGCTATCTACAAGGGGTTCTTGCCACATCTTGCGAGAATATTACCTCATACCATTTTGACCCTCAGTTTGGCGGAGCAAACCAACAAGCTTATGCGGAAATTCGAAACCCGAATCCTTCCTGCGTCGATAAAAGAGCAGGTATAAACTAGTTGATCTACACCTCAGATTGGTTGGCAGGCCCGGCCGCGCCGAGTTGTATAACCTCGTTCAGCTTGTATAGTGCATGTCCCTCACGGACAACCAGGAACAATAATTGGTGTTTATATACGGGGCATTTTGGGTGTTATAAAAAGATGATAGAATATCGTTGAGCATTTTCATCCGTTGATAGATCTTGAGCATCCATAGCATAGAACAGTATTTAAACTGACATCTTCCCTTGCTGGTCTTGAATCTGGATTTTGATCCCCGCCCCAACCGTAAATACCATCAGTACCCTCTGCGACAGGGAGTCCGCAAATTCCACAGCCCTTCGATACGTGGTCAGTAGAAGATTTCAATTTGCTCGATGTCCTAACAACATTGGCAACTATACTAGGGAAATTCTCCTCGACAGATTCGAAATATTGTGCCATTAAATCGTCAATCGTTGTCGATTTAGAGGAAGCAGATATATGGGAGGGTGGCTCCTGGTACACAACTAGCCCTGGGAGAGGTGTCGTTGAAGAGGAAAATGTCATGATTTCTTTTTTAAGGATATCTCTTAAGGGATAATTAAAGCCCAGTCCGTATGGTGATGGTCCATCGGAGACTTGCCATGGCAGAGAGAATCCACGCCCCTTGGCTGTTTCAGTGAGCGTCTTTTCTGCTAGTCGTGTAGTAGTATCACCGAACAAGATGCTCTCGCAATCATTCCTTTTGGCGACATCCACTAGGAGTCTATTTAAAAGCGTAGATACAATATCGGCCCTGGAAGTTGCAGATGACATTGTAGAAACAATGTTCTGCAGATCCAAACTTGAGGCTTTGGTACCCTGAGTAGGAACGACGTCTGATATTCCCAAAGATGTCCAATCGATACCTTCCAGTTGTAATGCTTCCTGAAGTCCATAACTTAAATAAGAATGTCTGGGGTATTGGTCCTTATATTTTTGCAATAGAGCAGCAGAGGCTTCTCTGTCCGCATCATCCAGGTAAAGATCGATATGTACAACGAATAGTTCATATGAAACCCGGTTCATCCGCTCTTGTTGGGTTTGCAGGTGGCCATCTAATATATGGAGCAGGCATGACGACGAAGGTCCAAAGGAAAGTGGTAATAATAATTTTTGTGGAACTTTCGAAGATCGTTTGCCTTTATACGTTTCCATGCGCTTCACTGCCTTTGTTTTAACATACTGTGAGAAGCATTTTCTGGTAGAGAACAATTTATTAGTAAAAACTATATAAGGATGCTGAGATGCATAACGAACTGGCAAACTGATTCTGATCGAATTTGAAGTGTAGCATTAGACTCCATACATCTCTTGCAAAGCACGCTTGGTTGTTCCGCAGAAAGATGCACTGCCTCCGGATTTGCCATCGCCATCGCCATTTTATTCAAAATAACTCGAATAATTGGATGTTTCAGGTATAACAAATGTTTCAATGTTCTTTATTATTTTGTGCAGATTCAAGACTTTTAATGAGGCGAGGCTGGAGCAAAATGTCAATTGCCCGAGCAGAAATCTAACTACATAAAGTTAGCTTGATCCGTGCCTTACGTTTTCCCTAACCCGCAATGAAGCTCTGGCTCTGTCAGCTAAGAGAGATCCCTGCCTGGGGGTTTGGTGTTGCCAGAAATCAAACAAGTCTAACAAGTCAAAACTTCATTCAACAACAAACTTTTCATATTAATTTGTGAATGTTCGAAAAGCTGGTCTGGATGTGCATTTAAATTTCAAGGAGAACGTCAATATCATTTACAATCTCAAAGCTCGAAATCGTGTTCCCTAGATACTAAAGTAACATAACTTTCAATTCGAGCCCGCGAGGCTACAGCAAACATGCGAGGTTGGCTTCATGGGTTCCTCGCATTGGGGATTTCGGCCCTGACAGTTGGTGCGTTGGAGGTCAGAATGGTACGTCGACAGAAGTGGAGATGAGGTGCTTGTTTTGACGGTGATAGCAGGACGAATCTAATGACAATCGACAAGTATGCGCCGGAATGTATGATCGGAAGACTTGGGGAGGCTCGACTGAACCGCATATATTAGTGAAGTGGCTTCCAACTACACAAGACTCGGAGGATCCTGATCCAATGGCAAGTATGGTCATTTTTGAGTGGAGGGATTATGACTTGGTTGGTGTATTGCCAACTATTGACAGTATCCAGGTAGGATTCAAATGATTCAACTTTCACTTTCATCATCCGCTGATACCTGAGTTTAGAAAGAATTCATTTGCGATCCAGAGAACATCAGTAATGGTTTCTGTAATAGTAACCAAACTGGTCAATTTCTCCTTGCGCCAAACGCAACAGAAAAGTCGATCAGTCAAATTTACACTGGAGCCGTTCATCTCAATAGCACCGGCCCACCAATAAACTATCCTATCAAGAAGACTGGCTATTACTGTGTTGGTACAACGGGCTATTCTCCTTCAAATGTTAAATATACGGCGATTGTAGAATTTCGGAATGCCTATGGGGAGCTTCCAGCAGCACAAATACCAAAACTGCCATTTTACGGTATTATCACGATTGTGTATGCTGTTATAGGAATGTAAGTCAAACCGTTCCCCTATCTATTTTTGCCGAAGCTAATTATTGATTGACAGTCTTTGGGCATTTCTCTATGTGCAACATCGAGAAGATATTCGTTAGGATCTCTGTCAAGTCTGTCATATCTATACTAACGTCTTATTAGTGCCCGTACAGAACTACATCACAGCAATCATTGTCTTTTTGATAATCGAAATGCTGATGACTTGGGGCTTCTATGGTAAGTCGATTTTGCAGTTCTTACCCGGACAACGCTAACCTATGTAGACTACCTCAATCGATCTGGCAGCAACATTGGCTCAAAAGCAATGATGATCATCGTTGCTGTACTTAATGCAGGCCGCAATTCATTCTCGTTCTTCTTGCTACTTATTGTCTGCATGGGTTATGGTGTCGTCAAGCCTAGTTTAGGCAAGACTATGGTTTATGTTCGCTATCTCGCTGGAGCTCATTTCGTCTTTGGCTTGATTTATTCAATTGCGAGCTTGACAATTACTCCTGAGCACGCTGGTAAGACCTTTTCTTTCTACCAAAATATTTACGTACTAACCTGTGATTAGGTCCACTAGTACTGTTCGTCATTCTCCCTCTGGCCGGAACTCTAACAGCATTCTACGTCTGGACTCTCAATTCCCTCAATTTGACTATGAAGGATTTGAATGACCGTAAGCAAACAACGAAAGCAGGCATGTATCGCAAGCTTTGGTGGTGTATTCTGCTCTCGATTATCGTCATATTCGGCTTCTTTTTCTTCAACTCGTTCACTTTCGCTTCGGCTTCAGATCCTGACTTTGTTCCTTTTCACTGGAAATCCAGGTGGTTCATTCTCGACGGTTGGCTTAATATTGTCTACTTGATGGACGTCGCATTTGTTGCCTGGGTATGGAGACCAAGTGCAAACAATAGAAGGTTCGCTATGAGTGATGAGTTAGCTCAAGACGATGAGGGATTTGAGATCGCCGATTTTGGCGCTGAAGATGATGACGAAGATGATATCGAAAACTCTGCAGCTCGCAGAGGTGACCGAACACAGCCCGGCCAAGATGGAGCAAGATATGATCCTCCTCCAGGAGCTAACACCGCAAAGGAGATTCCAAGAGAAAGTCTTGATGGAGAAACAATTTTTGCAGTTGGAGAAGATGGTGACCGCTGGTCAGATGATGATGATGATGACGATTCGGAGGCAGGAAAAAAACTTGTGGGTGGAAAGGGGACGAAAGATGCACACAACGATTCGGACTCGGATTAAGCGAGAGTTCTACCATGTATCATAATGGGTCGGCGTTGGGTATTATTGAGAAAGAAGGAAATAATGGCATTTACAATTGTAAGCTCGGGGGATTTGTCAAAGCATTTGTACTGATGTATTATTCTAGCAAAGCATTTATCTATAGAATTTATACTATGGACTTTCTTTACATGTACCAATCGCAAATTACTTGATAAATGGTTAATTTCCATTGGGGACTGCCGCTCCTCAAAACCCATTCTTCATTCTCACTACCCCTTTCTTTGATATGAAAAGTCGTGGCGTCTCAATTTCAAATTCTAATACACTTAAATTCGCCCCTTCAGACCTCAATCTCATCGATTCCCCTTGTATAAGTATAAAGTGGCAAAGGTCCCGCTTTTTTAATCATGCCCTTCGACATCTTATCCTTATCGATGATACTCCTGCCAAGCCCTACTGTATTATTTTTCACCCGCTTCTCAAATTCCTTTCCATTGCCCTTTACAGAGTTGTGCATGCGTGGACTTGTTTCAATGAAATGCGCAATGGCTGCTCCTTGAGCAATACCCATATCGCTGGTTAGACGGCGGAGTGCGGTACAGGCAAAGGTGCGGTCCTCGGGTGAAGTGACACGAGATACGGCTGCGATATAGAGTGGCCAGACGAGGAAATAGGCGCCGGCTGCGGGGAAAGAGAAAGACGGGGGTGTGAGGCCAGTCTCAGCGGGAATAGAGGAAGTACCAGGGATGAAGGCATCTGGGTAGAGAGTGGAGAAAATATTGCTGATTGAATTGGGAGTTGAAGGTGGGAGGTTATTGAGGGATGATGGGGTGCTGGATAGAGGTGTAGAATGGCCGGGAGATGGAGTCCAGGTTGACGGTTTACGACTTACATAGCCCAGATATTGGGGTACTGAGCGTAAAATTCCATCGCGCATTTGGATCAGTGTATCTGTACTCAACTGATATTAGCCAAGTAGCTCATAGACGTAAAACGTGGGGGTATGGCATCAAAACCTTCGAGAATGTGTTGTCTGATCACCTCATTTAGCATGAATCGAGAATTTTGCATCGAATTCCACATTTGCGCTATCCAATAGTCGTAATATATGTCGTAAGAACCCTTGAAGACGATTTCTGGAGCTTTATTCTCCCCAGCTTGCATAGTCTCGACCCCCTAGCCGGGTGGTACATTAGCAAATATTTTTTGTAATTCTTCGTCAAGAGCAAGAGCGGCGGCAATCACTTGTTCGCTATCGCCTATTTTGCCGGTTCGAAGATCGGATCTGAAGTACGTAAATTTGTCTAGAACAGCCGGCATCCGGAAAGCGAGATCACGGAGATCGAGTTGCTTATAAACTGCGGCTCGTAGCGCCGTAATCTCTTGTGGCATCGGGATCTCTCGCTGTAGCACGCTTATGAGAAGATGAGCTGTTATCTGCATGAACAGACCAACTCCCACTCGTGTTTTGAATTGTGAAGGGCCTCGAAGCTTAATAAGCGTTGAGGCTCCATTGATGTGTTCGGTCCATGCTTTAAAAGACAATCGATTGGTACATGTTACTGTTTCAAATACAGCTAGTACCATGATAGTAATGTACTATCTTTGACAGCATCTGTAGGGGATCTAAGTGCACCATTGACACGCCTTAGCGCAACCATATATTCATGATGAGCTTCACCTAATAGTTGAGGTGGTTTGGTTCTGTTAACAAGAGCAGCAAGACTGACAGCCGTCATGCTTGTAGATAAAGCTTCATCTAGACTACCATTGCGGCAAAGGTCCTTTAGGTAATTAAAATGTCCGCGTGATGGTCCGGATGCCCCAGCCAAAAAGTTGGTGATGAAGTATGAGGTACCCTGTTGCACGATTGATGGAGCTAATGCGGCTCTTGGCCGTGGAGCCGTAAGGATTTCGTTCAACTCAAATTCGTCGTCATCTTCATAGTCTGATGAGGATACCGAATTGCTTTGACTTGAAAGTCTCCGTTCACTCGATGAGGAGGATCTACTTGTTGCTTTTGTTCTAGTAGCACTGGGTCTGGGTGATCGCTGATCTTTTTCGCTAGCTTTAAGTTTTCTAGTCTGGGCATTACCAACTGTTGCAGAACATATTAAAGATCGGGGTTCCTACGTACACGAATCTTTCTCTCTACAATTTCCACACCCTTTTGAAGGCTTTCCACAATGAACCATGATGAGCGACGACTAAAGAGTTATTTCCACAAATACGATTGAAGATTGACATAACTTCGTCAATAGGCGAGAATAGAATGCTTTTTGGACAAGTCTATTCACGGTCATTCATACAGGATATCCCGGCATTCTTGCTTGGAGTGAAATTGCAAGTCTATTAGCTTTGAGGAAACGCTTCTAGTGCCAGAACAATTTTGAAGCTTCGGATGACAATAGCGCAGATACAACTAACTGCGCCGTAGCTTGATTTACTCCAATCAGCTCAGGCATGTTACTTTAACGATTTCGAACAGGCTTCTAGTCCCATCGAACAATGTTGATGCCTGTCAACAGGTCCGCGTCTGATGGCGGTCAGAGCAGAATCCACTGGGAGGGTAAGATTTCCGCTCCCGAAAAGGAATAATTTCGCTGCAAACGTCACGAACTGTGAGAGGCCTCGCATTGCATTTCTAATTTGGTTTGTGTGATACTTCTGCATAGACCGCGTGGCACCTCCCAGGATTACGGGCCTGGTCCACTTTTGAAGCTTAGACACCGGCACAGGAAGCTCGCTCGCTCGCTTCAGTAATCTGTAACTAGCGAGGCTGGGGAACCGAAGGGTCAGAAGCTTAGAGGTTTATATATCATACGACGGTGCCGAAAACTACCGAATGTCGATGGGTCTCGCGGTTGTAAGATCTTACTTATCTTCGGTATTGTCTTTGATTTATTGGTCTGGTTTACGACTGTTGCCTTTACAAAAATGGATTTACGGTCTTGAAATTTCGGGAGCTCCGACTTACTAGCACCATAATTAGCATACAGGTCAAAAGCTAACATCTTTTTTGATAATTCTTTCTACAAAAAAACTATACGGAGTTCGCTGAGGTGAATTTCATATTTGGATTCATCAAATGAATGCCCTTTGGAATTAACACAGTCGCCACTGAGAGTAACGACACAAAAACTTTCGGGATATTATAGGCAAGAGTTCCGAATTCCGTACATGGAGAGATATACCTAGGAGTTCATTCAACTACGAAGGATAATATCTGCCTATTTATCACATGAAAAAGGCCCAAATAATTGCTTCATCTGATGTTGTTTGATGTTATTGCCTACTTGGGATGACTTCAATATTCTTATATCCGTTAAGGTCGGATATCGAAGTGGGCAAAGAGATTCTCCAAGGCAATATGAGATCGATTGATCCATCCGTGAACGGAGCAGCTCAGTAATTGGTTTAGGTCTTCACACGATAATGTATGCAAGTCTCATCATCCATAGCTGCTTAGGCTTCAAAAGGTGGTTTATATTCTACTTCGGCTTTAGGGGGTGTCTCCAGACAGTATTTACTATGTGAATCTTGCCCACCAAATCACTAGTAGCTCCTCTCAAAGTCACTACAACTCTTCGGGTCGTTTCATTTCTTTCATTTCCTTCCCAAAAATTCTACACATGTTTTGCACACATCACCATTTTTTAAGAATGATCTCTTGAAAATAACTCGCATTTCCAACAACCAACTATTTACTTGTTGAGATGATTCAATAATTATGCTATTATGGCATGCTTTTAGCGCTGGCGCTCAGAATATAGGGTTTTGCGCCAATCGGATTGATATTTGGATATCATTTTTTTGGCCAGAGATTCTTGAATGTTAGGTTGCAGTGCGATTATGGTTTCCTTCTGCCCTCTAGTCGCTCCGTCGAGATTGGCTTAGGCAACGGGATAGCCTCTTGAATCATGATGGCGAGGACCAGAGCTTGATGTTTTCACAAAGCAACCACGCTAGACGTATCTGCGCCTCTCAAGATCTTCTCTTAGGCTTACATGGCTTCTTTAGAATAGCACCAGGCGGAGAGAATTCTGTTTCAGTCTCGAAATTATCCGCTACTAAGATTGGGTCGAGTAGACAACTTTCATATATACTTCTTCAGAGACGCAAGTTGACCAGTTCTACCGCTTTTCTCATCTCTCTCTTTTTGCTCTCACCCCTGTCATTTATTTTTCAATCATCTAGAGTTCATCCTCCCTCTCGCATACAGAATCAAGTACGAAATTCGAAATGTTCCATTTTTCCACATATGCATAGCCACTTCCAACAAACTCAGTGCATTCCCAATCCGAAATAGCACGAAGTTGATCTGCAAACCCATCCATGTGTATGGTCATTAACCAAAAGCTTAATCATCGGAGGCTGAGCTTAATCTCATGTCAGCCACGTTTTCAACTGCATGCATGCCTCATTAGGATTAGTTTTCAGCCCTACCATGGGTCTTCAAGTTGCGCTTTTCTCAATGAGGGAATTGTTAAGTTGGTGGTGGAATTTCTAGTTCTCGGGTGTTGGATGAGTATGGAAGTCTGGGATAATTCAGATCGGTGAAGAAGTAATGTCGAGGATGAGGGAATATATATATCGTTTGGGATTTCTTGTTGTTATGTTTTTTGTTCATTCCTTCTATAGCAATTGATTAGCTGCAGTTCAAACTTTTCCGAGTTTTCACTTCAAATTGAGAATCTACATCAAAATCATCTGCCTTCTACTTCCCACTACACAGGTTCTAGTCGAAAGTCATATACCTCCTCTTTTAATCTAGCATTTCGTCGACCCAAAATACACATCATGACCATTACCTATCGAAACGGTGTTGGAATTGGTGAACTAATCGTCTACATTCCCTCCCTCTTCCTCTCCATCTTTCTCGCTTTCCGCCATGGATTTGGCCGCAGCGCAGGCTGGTACTTCCTCATAATTTTCTGTCTCGCTCGAATCATCGGTCCCTGCATGTCTCTCGCCGCCATATCCTCTCCCTCAGTATCTCTCTACACCGGCGCACTCATCCTGCAAAATATCGGCTTATCGCCTCTGATACTCACTACCCTGGGACTCTTAAGTCGCGTGCTAGATAGCATCAATCGAAATACCCACACACTTATCCAACCTCGCATGCTGAAACTCATCGAGATACTCACATTGGTTGGATTGATACTGGGTATTGTGGGTGGACTCAACGCGAGTGATACCTACACTTCGACTGGAAAATGGGTTCCGGGAACGGAAAGCAAGGTTTCTAATGTCTTGTTTATTGTTTCTTTTGCGGCTATTATAGCCACTACAATCCTTACCAGTTTCTCAATCTCGCATGCGGAAAATGGGGAGAAGAGGATTTTATTGGGAATTGCTATCGCGTTACCATTTTTGTTTGTTCGACTCCTGTACTCCATTCTCTCGACTTTCGTCTCACACTCTACGAAATTCAATGCTCTCACTGGAAATGTCTCGGTCTTGTTATGTATGGACCTGCTTGAGGAATTGGTGATTGTGGTTATCTATTTGGCAATTGGAGTCACGTTGAATGTTAAATCTAAAGACGTGGTTGCAGATGCAGAGATCCAACAGATTTCAGGGACTTCGGATAGTGAAGAACCGCTTGGTCGACAAAATCATCAGAGACGAACACAACAACAGAATCAAAAAGTGGGAGAAGAAAATAGGGTATTGAGAATTGCGAAGAAGACGATTATTGGGAGGTTGATAATGGCATTTATTCCGGAGAAAAAAGCAGATGTGGAGATGCAGCGTTATGTTCAAAAGGGAAGAGGTGTGTGTTAGGGAGGTTCTGAGGAAGCTGGCTAAATCTGTTTATTTTACTATGTGTTTTTAGCGTTGGTGTTGGAAGATGGTTTGGTTTGATTTTATCGGTCTGTGAAATTGTTGAAGATTTCTTCGTATACACCTCATTTCTCTGTAGACTTTATACATTATAGAATTCCTCAATCATCATTTCAAAATGTTTGATGTGTCTGAATGGCTAATCAGGTTGCATATGAGGTTTAATGCGTGATAGTGACTAGTCCAACAAGACTAAAATAGCAATCAAAACATATGTCCTGGACATTCCCATATGATTCTATAGATCATCCTCCTAAACTTAACTTAAAATGTCGAAAAATCTATTTTCGTACACGAAAACAAGGATTGAATACTTTCATGAAGTAATGGTATTTCGAAGCATACTGGCCAGTAAATTTCACTCTTTATCCCAATTTGATGATTCGTTCATTAATTCGTTTATCAATCATCCCTACTGGATATCTAACGTCATTAAGAAGAGTCCTTTACATGGGAAGACGCCCAGCGTGCATACATGAAACACATCCATCGAATACGAGTCAACGAGACCTAAGAAAACCCAACACCCACATTCGCCACATTCGCCAATTACGCATAACCCAACCAGAACCAAAGAGCCAACCACTTTCACAAAGGCAAAAACCCACCCCCTAACAACGCCAACAACGCTTCTCCCTCTTCCCTCCTCAAATCATTAACCCCCTTCTCCACACTCTCCACCTTCCTCACAATCTCATCCAGCCTCTCTTCCTCCACCTTCTCCTTTGATTTCTTCGCCACCCTCTTCTTATGAAAATATCGCGAACTGGTCCGGATACGCGTCCCATCCATTTTATATCCTCGACTCGTCTCCTTACTATCCATACTATATCGATACTCTCCCGTGTCGAGATCGACTTCAGTGCGACGTTTGGCTTTCATATTGAGGGAGATGCGATCGCGCACGAAGGTGTATTGGCGAAAGCCTTCGAGTTCGGGGGGAGGCGGTGGCCAGGTTTGTTTGGAGGAGGAGGCGGCGACGGGTGGGAAGAGGAGGTATTCTGGGGTGTGGGGACGGAGATGGGGTGGTGGGGGTGAGGGATGGGTTGGGGTGCGATGAAAGAGACTGTGTGGGGCTTGATGGAGATGAGTTCTATTGGATGCGATGGCACAAGTTGGCTGTCCTGTGTAAGCATCGTCGTCCTTGTCGTAATCATTCATGGGGTCGAAGTGGATGAATTCGATAGAGGGGTCTGAGGAGGCGCTTGAGTAGATTGCTTGCCGTTGTGGTGGTAAATCTGGAATGTAATGTGCTTGAACATTGGTTTCTAAATGTAAATCTTTAGTGGGTAGTCTAGAGTAATGACTGGTTAGATCTTAATACTTGATGCAGAATCTGATGCTCCATCTGCTTGAGCGGAACCCGAAGCTGTGGGAATGAATGCTTTTTTCGTGCTACTCTTCTTGGCATTGTGAACTGAGAGGGCATTTTGGGTTCTAGTACTGAAAATTGTACCAGGTGGTGGGGTTTCGGGAATTAATATTCCAAATTGAGGACCAGCCCCATGAAGAAGAGTAGTTTTAGCTTTTGTAGTTTTGGGTGTAGGTGAAGTTGGTGTAGTGGTGGAACGAGAGACAGATCTGGTGATTCTTCGAGAACTAATGGGTAGCGGATTATCTGGAGCGAAGTTCAGGTCTTGATCTGTAATTTCTTGTGAACTTAATGCTGAGGGTGGCTATGTCCATTACAAACCAGATTAAGGTTGAAACGTACGTATAAAACCCATATCGTCACGAATCACAAAAGGATTGTTATTCGATTGGCCTGGTGCCATAGCAGAAGTATCAAAGGAAGGACTTTGCTGCATAGAAGGATTTGGCGTGGCAAGTTCGGTTCTATGACCAGTAGTGGATATACTTGATAGGTCATTAGCAGCTACTACTGTGGAGCTCGATTCAGTTTGTTGATCTCCCTGATTATCAGGCAGTTTTGATAGCGAATGGTGGGTATTCGAGGTTATGTGAGCAAGCTCGTTTTCTTCTTCTTCATTGCGTGAGAGGAAGAGTCGTTGTCCCTCAGCTGATATTGCAGGGTGGAAGGAGGGGCTCGTAGGATCATATATTCTCCCAGTCGAGCTTGGAATCTGTTGTCCCTCAGCTGATATTGCCGGATGGAAGGGAGGACTTGTAGGATCATATGTCCTGTCAGTCGAGCTTGGAATCTGCAAATTTTGATAGCCTCTTCCATTTAATGGCTGTAAAGGATTTTGGTTTGTGGAAGGGAGAGGATAGTATCTAGAATGATTTCCGGAAGATGACATCATAGAATTTTGATGTCCCCGCGGGGAGTGTTGATGAGTTGAATTTGGGGATGTAGTTTGTTCGAACCGATATGTTTTCGAGGGTGCGGAGGGATATGACTTATGAGACACAAGAGTATGAAGAGAATTCCCCATTAGTGCACTGCAATCTGTCGATTCACTCTTCAAATTTGAAGTGTAATTAGACTGGAAAATTGGTCACTGTACTGGGACTCTTAATTCACCGTCAATAATTGAAGGGATATTGGCACGGGAAATCATGTCCCGTGCTGGCTCTCCTCCTTCCGAAACATACGGCATAGAAGTTTCAGAGGCTTGGACTGAATATGGGCTTGCATATTGATGTTCTTGAACTTTTTGATGCAATGCCAATGGCATATAAACACCGCCACCACAGGTGTTTGGCAGACCTCCAGGAACCGCGGTGGTAAATTTAGATGTGTGATTTTGAGTTTGCTGGCCAGATTGAGCAATCTGCGATGAGACTGGTTGTAGTTCGGGAGATTGGATGTGATAATTAGCAGGCTCGTTGTTGTTGGAACTTTCAACTGACGAAATACTAGCACGTCGAGTAGTGGGTGATATCGAAATACCCTTTGTCATCCAAGGCTTCTGAGGAGACCCAGCAAAAGCATTTGACGTAGCATTGATGGCAATAACTTTCTCTTCAGAGGTCCGTTGTAAGGGCTTCTCTTTCGGTGTTCTTGTGGGATGCTGACTGGCCTTGTATTCAACTTTATTGATCTCACGTGAGGCAAGACTCCTGACGGCTGAAAATGGTTTCCTTCTAGGTTCATGGCTTAAATCTGGTTCCGCAAATATTTGCGCCCAGATTAGTCTTCCAGCTTCTTCAAGTCCTTCAATATAGCCAGTCTTCTCGAATGCTCTCAAAAGTTCGTAGATTCTTTGACCATTTGGAGAAGTGTCGTTGAGGTTCTTCCGAGGTTCAAGTGGAAGTGAATCGATGGCTCGCAGTTCACTGACTGATTTGGTGTTGTTAGTTCTGAGTTCTTGGAACGAGGTTGAATGGTGTAAAATTAAGAAATGTGAAAAAGGGAACATACCTGTTGGTGGCCGATGAAATGTATCTCTAACGGCTTTTATATGACGATCTCGAAGGAGACGGGGCACCTCATCTCCATCTCCAGACATTCTGGCAAGGTGAATGCGAGATTTTTGTGTGCTTAATTTGTAGATATAGAGAAAAAAGATATTCGGTGTGCCAAAAATTCGCAAGTCATGCAAAGTAGATATGCGACTCGAAAAGCTTTATTGCACGTGGTTCTTCAGGCAATACGTACAAACAAATGCTAGAAAGAGGCTACAAGATTCAGCAAAAAGGTCTTGAAGAAACTATACGGCATGTTTCCTTATCGCTTTCCAAAAGACGGATCAAAATGGATCCGAAAGTGAAGAAATAGATGCGACGAGAGTCTATCACCCAATCAACCCAACCCCTCCATATTCACTTTCGCTTCTCTCAAATATAACCCCAAACAATCTCATTACCCTCGAACCAAACCACCAAGTGGTGGTTTGGTTCAACGGTCAAGTGGCCGACTTTGCTATACAATCCTTTGCTATACCCATAACTTGTTACAAAGCTGTTGCTATACCATACTAACCCTAATTCGTCCTCATCGTCAATGTAAGTGTGTTATTTCTTTTGCCTTTTTGATACTAGGTAGGTAGAGTATATGCGCTTTTTTCTTTTGCCAACCTTTTGTGTTGGATGTAGAGTGTGAGGTTATTCTTTTGGCGCGGGTATGATAACCGCCGCAGGTTAAGCGACGACGGTGAGGTGGTAAGTGGTTGAATTTTGAGAGCACTTGCGACATGAGTGGGTCTGTCGAACTTTCATAGAAAAGTGAATTTGACAAGGTAAGTAATCTCGAACCTTCTCAAAGCAGTTTCAGTGTTCATGGTCTTCCATGTCCCATACTTTTAATCACCATGTCTTTCATGTACTAATTAATCAGGTGGACTTAGGTAGAACAAATTTACCTTCAACTTTCCTTCAAATTCTAGAGGTCTGATATTGAATTGCAAGTAAAGGGATGATATTTACATAGCAACCAAGAAGTGAAAAAGAGGAAGCAAAGAACTGATTGTTAAAGAAACACGCTATCTATAGATATATTTTCTGCATCCTTGAAAGGCAGGGCATATATGCATACTACATGATCAAAGAAACAAAAATGCACCCACAAATATTCTAGCATAGCTTTCCGTTGAGCCTTGACCAAAAAGTTGATGAAAGTAAGTCATAGCGAGGACATGTAACCAACTCATTTTTACATTGGTAGGAAATGCTTTTGTTATACATCACTGTCCTATACTCTATGTTCCAACTTTTTATTCCGAAAAACTCCAGTGATTCCAGAATTTTAAATTTATTAGATAGTACTCCAGGCATTGTCGATAGGAAGTGCAAAACCGTTGATAGACTTCGCTCCATTGCTTGCGAGGAACTAGATTGCCTCAGCAATTGCTGAAACAGCCACATTGGGCATTTCGCCAGGCTTAATGTGCGAAGCGAGAACCGGCCTATGATATTGTCAATAAGAAGGGCACGAGAATGAATAGTCTAGAAAGATCTTACTCCCATACAGCGGCCGCTTCTTGGTCCATGGTTTCTCTGTTCATCGACTTGACCATGTTGGTCATTACGCCTACAAGATGTGTTAGTAGGTGTTACAAGAGGAGTTTATCTTTGAAAAAAGATGAGGTTGACCTCCGGGACAAATGGCATTGCATCTGATACCCTCATCCCTAAATCTGAATGCAGTATTCTTGGTCACACTCAGCTATAGCATCATTAGCTTCCACGACTCACGCTTCTCAATCAAAATATGACGAACCAATCCATGCTTAGAAGCTGTATAAGCAATTCCTGCAGCAGCAACACTCAATGCAGCTTTACTACATAAATTTACAATGACACCATTCTTCTTAGCCCTCATGAAAGGTAGAACAGCCCTGATTAGTTTCGTAGGAGCCGTGAGATTGATTGCAATGATACGATCCCAATCACCATCCGTGACCTTGTCCGCTGAGGTCATCGAGTCTATCACACCAGCTATATTGGCCAGAATGTCAGTAGTGTCGCTAGAGAATTTTTAGTGTCTTTGAAAACTGGTTGAATGTATGTATGTGGTTGTAGTTTAAGCCCACCGACAAAAGAAGAGTACTTACCCAAATCGATCGACACAGATCCTCACAAGCTCGTCGCATTTTCCATTTTTACTCAAATCTCCTCTATGAAATTGGCACTACTCAGATCCACATATCAGTATCTGATATTCTTTCTCCTATAAGTTCCACACCTCTGAAAAAAGAGTATGGCGTCCAAAAGCTTCAATCAATATACACTTACCATCTCCTGGTTCTCCTTATCCAATAGAGTATGGTCCATCTCGCTCACATCGACACCTAATACCTTATATACTGATGACTCAAAAACAACCGCGTGGTCTCGAGTCCTATCCCACTTGCACATCCCGTCACGATGGCTACCTTGCTAGATCCTTTCCCGTCAACCTTGTTGCTTAGTTGTACTGTAGATAATCTTGGTCGAAGACTTCGCTGATTGTTTGAATATGGTCTGTTGAATTTTGGCTTGTTGATTTTGAAATCTGCGAGGTATTTATGTTAAAGTATTGTCGATAATACTGTGGTCCGAACTTTCTTTTGGAGATGTAGAAGCCAGTTTCCGGATACGGATGATGGTCCACCCGCACTGTGAATACGAATCCGAGCCTCAGTACGATCCATTCACGGAGGTTAAGTGAGCACTGAGATTCAACAGCCGGAGGTTGTTGATAAGCCACTTGAGCTTTGTTGGTTGACTACCTAGGTACTGACAGGAGCGGAGCTTGATCAAGCTCTCGGGACATATTGTTACTCATTAAACTACGGGTCAATGGGTCGATCGAAGAGCCAAATGGCATGGAGGGTTAGAAATGAACGTAAACCCCCTATTTCGATAACCCCACGGGAGATAGCAATCGCAGGTACTGGTATTTCTATTCAGCTCACGACGTTATGGAGCTCATTCTCGTTTCAGAAGACTTGGCATACTGAACCATCAATGCATGATACAATTGTGGTTCAATTGGATAGGGGGGTAGTGTCATAGAGAATCCTGAATCTGACTTCATCTTGCCTGTAATAGATATGCGAGATCTTCCTGTGCAACATAATATGCAGCTAAATTGAGATCGACCAGGCGAGACACAGACGTCCACGGGTGGCCTTGCCGTGGCTGACAATTATATATGGGGGTTCATTGTGGCTGATTCACTTTTCTGTAGAAAATTTGTGAGTTCCGGCATCATTCATTGTTTGCCCACGTGTGCCTAACAAGCTCGCCATGGGTATGATCAACTAAATCTCCCAATGAAGCCTTCAAATCTGTATTCCCGTCCTTCTCTTCTATTGAAAAATATCTCAAGATCCCTAACTACATTTTGCCTAAGCTTTCGACGATTCCTCCATCTCCTTAATCTTCTCAAACAACCTCAAAAATACTGCAGAGTCCTGGGCACCTCCAATCTCATATTTTCCCTGGATAGTGAAATTCGGTACCCCGCTAATCGAATTCCTCGCCTCTTCAACCTCCCTATCAACCTCTACTCCCCCCTTCCCACTCTCCAACCATTCATTGACTTCCTTCTCGTCCAAACCAGCTCGTACCGCGGCACTTTGTAATACTTCATGACTTGTAATATCGCCTTCTTCTTCAAAATACGACTTGAATAATGATTCCACTACCTTTGTTTCCATGGCCGGCGACTTTGTCTTTCCCAATTGAATAAGGCGATGGCTATCTCTCGTAGCTCCTGTCTTTCCTCCAAACTTGAAGTCGATACCGACATCCTTTCCAATTTCAGAAAGTCGACCGAAAACTGCCGTCATTCTCTCTTCTCCAAAGCGAGCAAGGTACCATGCTCGTTTATCCACACCTATCCAGATGATTAATCTCAGAACATCTAATTGACTGATGATGTGTATTAAAGGAAGAGCAATTACTTACCAGTTTTGGGCGCTTCTGGAGCAAGGTAAAAAGGATGCCATGAGATACTAAATGTATCATTGGAATCAGGATGTCGTTGTTTGTATGCCGTAATTCCTTGCTCGAGTTTTTGCTTTCCAACATAACACCACGGGCAGACGGTGTCGGAAACAATCGCAATATCAAATTTGGTCATTCTGGGCAACGTCGCTCTGAACATCAGATTGTAATAGAATATGAGATGAAAGAAGATGTAAATAGAAAGAACAAAAAAATCACTACATATACTGCGAAGAAATTAACACATGATACAGCAAAAATTACAAGGGTCTAAATGAGGAAGCCGATGATTACTAATTATTCACCGACGATGAGCACGATTAGAAATCAAATAATTCAACGGTGACCCAGTCAAGTAGTTCGGTATCCCATTCGTACATGCCGACCCGTTGAGTACCTTAGTGGGGGTTAGTGGTTTTTATTATAATATTATTATAGTATAGAATTTATTGAATTGTATTTCAAAAAAAAGTCTATTTAAGAAAAGATTATACATTTAAATTTAAACTAACGTTAATTTATATATAATATTATCTTATGTAAGAGTTGAGGCCCCGGCTTATCGTACACTACTCTTTTTCGTAATAAAATCCTCATAAAAACACTATTTTCCTATACAAATTAATTATTTTCATAATTCTTTAATTATTTGAAAAATTGATTTGAAAATTATACATATAAGAAATAATTATATAAAAAAATATTTGATTTAAATTGTTTCTTGAAATTATAAAAATTGATAAAGTTATAGATTTTTAAAGTTAAAATTTTTCAAAATTTATAACATATAATACTTTTCCCATACAAAAAAACCACTTTTTTCTAGTTTTCTAATAATTTCAATTTTAAGAACCTATAACTTTATCAAAAAATAGCTAAAAATATTTCATCTGTTTTTTTAAATCATTTCAATGATTCTCAATCTTATTTATTATTTTTATAAACTTAATTTATAAATTGATTGAATTAATATATAGTTTAAAAGTTGAAGAAATGAGGGTTTTTGGTGTGTTTTCGCTTAGTGTGCGATAAGCCGGGGCCTAAACTCTTATAAGATTAGATTATATTTAAAAATTAATATTATATAAACGAACAAATATTATATATATAAATAAATACTATAAATATAATTAAATACTATATTAGGAAATTGATATTAAGATAGACGAGATATAAAACTTAAAATGAATTTTATTATATGAGTCTAATTTAATTTAGTTTAAATATTAAAAAGAAACTATATGAGATAGTAGTATAGTAGTAGTATATATTATATATAATTCGAAGAAGAAGAAATGAATAGAAAGTAAAAGAATAGAAATAATAATAATAATAACAACAATTTTTAGAAAAAGAAAAGTGAGTATAGTTTCATTTTCATTTATTTATTCGAAAATATTTCTATATAATATTATTTACTTATATAGTTTCATTCGTGTATATAGTATTTACTTCTTATATAATACTCGCTTTATATATAGTATTCGCTTTTTATATAATATTTATAATAAATATTCTATATATTCTAGTCGGGTTTATACGCTATAGTTTTAATAATATTATATAGTTTAGACACTATAATAAAAAATCAGTAACTGCTACTAAGATAAGCAATAGTAAAGCTTCATTTGATAGAATTATTATTGTATTAATTAATTTATATGAGTTCCGTGTCAAGGTCGTTTGAAGGGACATTTGTAAGGATTTTGAACAGGTGTGGAAGAAATTTCTAGAAGTTGATGATTAATCATTTGTGTGGCTTGTGGTGTGGCTTGCTAGACAGAATGTCAAACAACTGCATCACAACAAAATTGATTATTGAGAACCCTTCTAACAACTATTTTCTTGATAGTCTATCTACATGCAATATACCTAGGTAATATCCCGAAATTCAAATCCTCCTTCACTCACTTTCCTACAAGCCCGGAACAAATCCCTCCACTTTGACATCCCAACCCTCGGGAAAATGCATTCCAGGCTCGCCATCCCACCCCCCTGCCATCATTGCCATTGCAAGCATCAACCCTCCCGCGTTCGGGAAGTACGGGGTCGGCACGCGGGATCCTCCTACGGGGTATCCTGCATCATCGAATTGAAAGATTGGATGTAATAGGTACTCTATTGCTTGATCTGTGTCGCCTAGGCGAAGAGAGTTCATGGCCAGTAGAGCAAAGTCCCAACCATATGAATCTTCTAAATCCCAAAGAGAGTGGATTTTGGAGGCAGTGTTATTAACGATGGTTATATTGAGGGGCGGAGAGCTAGTGGGTGGGAGCCATCCATATATACCGGCCATTGCTGGATGCTATCATTAGGGTCAAGGTTAGCAATTCGGAATCTCAGAAATATGAATCATGCAACTGTAAGATCACTTACATCAGATGTTGTTTCATTATCTGTCCACATGTTGGGAATACCCTCATACACGGGATATGTGTCGTCAACGATAGACAGGGGAGCAAGATTTTCCCGCACGTCTTTCCAATCCTCAGGGATAGATTTTCCCTGACGCTCTTTCCACTTCATAGCCACATCAAGACCAAATCTCCAGTAGGCCAGCTCGAAGGTTGGGTTAATTGTCGCATTTGGCTTCGTATTTTCAGAGACGGGATACATTGGTGGACCCAAATCATAGACTCCAGTAGTGGCATTATACCACGCGAATGATGCCATGAAATCTGCCGTGGCTGTCAATACCTCATCCCATCTTTCCAGTGCCGTTTCATTCGGGAATGATCGGTATTCGATCTCGGCAAAGTGCATCGGATGCGGTTGCTGCCAGATCAAAAGAGAGTTGATACCCCCCGGAGCGCTGCGAACTGTCGGGTCGGTCATCTTCCCCCAGCGGGCGCCCTCGTATCCTTGAAGTCTAGCCCTGTCGAGCGAAGATTCGAGGAACTGCTCATAAATTCCTGGCATGCTTCGCCAGAGAAGGTCGAAATGATTCCATCGAGCAAAAGGCATAAGATGCCAGAAGACCATCTCAAGCTACACGGATGATTCTCAGCCATTGTTTTGAACCAAACTAGGCTCATCGTGAATAAAGAAAAAGATAACGCAATAGTTTGGGAATACTAACGTGGAATTTTCCATACCACCCATTATTTACGAGACCGGATTCTGAGAAAATCAGTAAATCGTCGAAGAAAATCTCATCTTGATATTCGTCTAAATGACATACCTTGAGGTGGAAAGTCTGACGCCGAATTGACCGCTAACAGGTATTGAGATAGAATAGTTCGTCGCTGAAGCTCAGTGGCATTCGTAGAGTCAACAGAACTCAAGTCAATAAATGCCCCCGATTCCCAATAAGTTTGCCACCACGTCTTGGAGCTATCAGCAAGATGAGTCACGGATGGTGCACTCATATTTCCAGCTTTACCACAGCTTGCCTCATCCGAGAAAGTCCCTGTCATTTTCAAATTGCTGGAGCCCGGAGTTTTGAGAAAGTATCTATGCGTCCCCTCCTTGGGACCCGACACCTGACCTTTGCCCTCCCATCTTGCGGTAAAACAGTAGCTAGTATCGTCTAGAGTATGTTGTATAACGGCCTCATTATCCGCACTATCAAGAAATGTAGAGTGTTTACTGCTGGCGTTCCACAGGCCAACAAATGGCGCATCGAATTTGTTCACATCCGAATATGGAAAGTCGAAAAACAAACCCAAAGAGCCGGTATTGAGCAATCCAGACTCCACATTGATTATGACGGCATCAGAATCCGACGCAGCTGATACTTCGACATGGACTTGGCTGCCATTGTACAGAAACGTCGAAGTAATCACGCCGTTCCATAAATCAAGAACCTGACTCTTCCTCTCCAAATCACCTTCCGCAACATTCGCGTTCGCAAACCAAAATCCGATATTCCCCAGATTTAACCGTTGCGGATTCTGGATTAACCAGTTTGATATATCAGCCTCAGCTGGGCTGGGCTGGTCATAGTTCACAAGGCGTCCATGAGTCCACAAGTCTACACCGGTAAAGTCTTCAATGTGTTATTAACCAATACCCCAAAAAACGTTATCAATGATCAGGCCTTACCTTCCACAGCTGTTTGATTCGGAGTTGTCGGCAAGCTGAAGTTATGCCAACCCCATGTCGACATCGTGGCGAAAGGACGAAAGGTCTGCAGCCCCGTCACATCGACACCAAATGCAAAATTCCCATTGCCAACTTGCAGAGGTGTCGATGCGGAACTCGCATTACGGTGAACGTTGTATGTTTGAATGATTTCTTGTCTTTGTATCAGCGCCCCAACCTTAACCAGCCAGAGGAAAGATACGCAAGATGAAAAGAACATTGAAACACGCATGTTTATTTGAGCAGCATGTCAAATAGTAGAATTGGGCCCCATATATAAATGTAAATATAGATCGATTCTCCTCTTTCAGGAACAGAAAAATTACCCCAGATTTTAACTACCGACGTCACATCTGCATGGAAACCCTTAACATTGTCCCGAGCCTGAGTTCTTCCACCACTCATATTATTTTTCTTATGCAGGTTAATCCTTGCTAGCGGACGCGAGAGATGTTTGGATGAATAATTCAGAGATGTATAAGTTATTTAAACTCCGAATAAGTTAATGCTTGGATAATCAAAGTGATATACAAGGGGAGCAGTCGTGTGGCAGTTCGAGGCCCAGAAATAATACACAAGTCGAATTTAAAATATTTCTCTTGATCTATCATGTTTGCGATATGCTTCACAGCTTCAACTTCAACTTCTCTCCTCTTGAACTGCTGGCATCATCAACAATTCACGCCTATGGTCGGAATGCCCACAATTCGCAAACATCTCATCGATATATCAATGACCACTTCATGATAACAAAAATCATTACTGGAAGCATCCGCATAGCAAACATCCACCAAGTTCAGCCTACCCCTCTCTATATCAAAAAGAGCAAGTCAGTGCCAAAAAAAAGCTGTTTCTTCTTTCTTTTCCATTTACATACATTAAAAGATGAGAGAAATTCTGCCATCCTTTATAAGCGATGCTGAACTAGGTTATAGGTCTCAGTGATCAGATTCTTGGACATTCAATTACTGGTGAAGAACGACTGAGAGAAAACGAGAAGCCTCACATTTCTCTATGTAAGCCATCATTTCACTCTTCATCCTCAACACCAGAGCCAAAAAGCATTTCTTTTTTTATAGAACATCTCGATTGTGCTAAGCTATCTGGTTTTTGACAGCTAAAACAATTGCCACAAAATCCTGGAAAATTTCAGGGTTACTTGGAAAAAAAAGAAAGAAAAGCCTAGGCAAGATCTGAAAGTCAAGGTAAAGTGAGAATACGTCCAGCGAGCCTAAATCTTCAATTTCTGCCCACTATAGCAAGAAAGGACTCTAAGATACTATCAATTGTCCTGTGCCTATCTTGTCAAGACATTTACCACTCGAACTCCGCATCATGCTTTGCCCAATAGTCTACCTTTTTCTTGGCATTCTTCTCTCCGGCTTCCCTATACTTCTTGGCCAACTCTCCAAACCCTTCCTCCTTGACGGTATACTTTATTGTTTCGTCTTCATGCTTGCCTATAACATCGGCCACACTAGCAGTGATATCATTGACGACCCTACCGTAATTAACTGCCTCACGGATTTTGCAACGAACCCCTTGAGACTCGCAATGTTGCGTCAGGGCTGTGTACGTTCCGAAACCTCTCTATCAAAAGGTTAGTAACAGCGCAATAAAGCACGTCTAAATCGTTTTCCTTTCCGATCTCAACTTTGAAACTATGATCTGACAGAAGATAAAGAAAATGAAAATGAATAATGGACGCCACACCGAACAACATTGTGACAACTTTGACGAATTGCGAATGTATCATTATGCGATGTAGAATAAAATATTCCACAATCAAAGTGATGCCAAGTTATAGAGAATACATGTTGGGATTAGTGGGATTTGGCAAACATTAAATAAAGAAATCTGTTGTGCTTACGTAGCAATTGGGACAAATAAGTCTATTATCTGAAGTGTGTGTGGCAGAAAGTAAATGTTGGATGAAGGCTCTTTCGGTATCGTAACTTTTCCTTTGAGAATGTTAGAGAATGGTTTGAACTGGGTAATTGAAATTACTTACTTGCACAAGCGGTGAGGACACTGGTACTTTCGGGTGAACGCAACCCAGTATCTTTGTGCACGGAAAGAAGGGTCTTCAGGGTCATAAAGTGCATACTCCTTCTCGGGTAAAGGGTTGACAAGAGCCCGCATACGAAGAGGCGGAAGTCCGTCAGTTCGAGTAGCTACATCTGTCACCGCAGGTGTTTCTGTAGATGGTGGGGGGATGGGTTTTCGGGCATTTGCAATGATGTGCTTGGTGTCCCAGATGGAAGTAAACTTTGAGTCCTCGAGTGGTGCATCCATGAAGTTTGGAGCTTTCATACCGGCGTCTCTGAATTGGCTTCCATTTGGCAAAGGTGGGAAGTTATCTTCTTTCATGGAAGGTGGAATTGCAATTGGGAAGGAATTTTCGACATACTCATACTGAACCTCCTCAGTGGGCTTTGGTTTCTCCTTGGTTGCCTTCTTTGAAATTCCTCCCCATGGTATACTCATGGCTTTGTCAACTTCCCCGAAACAAATTAAGTCTTCCTCTGGTTGTAACTCCATGACGGGAGCAGGGGTAATATTTCTAATTGCTTCGTTAAGAGTATTCGATGGTATCGATGGTATATCTTCTTCCAGGACTAAATGACTGTAAGCTCACTTCGAGAAAAGAAAGTTCTGGGGAGTTACTAGTAGTTTCCCATCCACCAAACTCAAAGTTGGCAGCTATTTCACTCTCAAAATTCGGTGGCGGTGGCTTGAACATTGGCGCCAGCGGCTTAGCATCCATAGAATTTACAGAAATATCCTGCGAATCTAAAAGGCTGTTACTGGTTCTTGGGCCAGCATTGTCATCAATCTCGTTTAGATTAGCCTTGAATTTTGCATGAAGTTGTTGACGTTGACGTCTGATAGCCGCCAGGTTATGTCTCTCTTCAAGGTTAATTGCGCGACAGCTATCAAGTTCAAGGTGATTGATCAGAGATCCTAGACGAATGAACTTCTTGCCACAAGCCATACACTTAAGATCTTGTTCCTTTGGGTGAGTCTAGAGTTTCATAAGATGTCAGTCAATCATGACTCGCCAGTTAATCGATGGAAATCAACCTACTAGAGTTCGATGGCGCTTCAGACCTTCCTCAGTGTGAAAATCTGTGCTACAGATGTCACAGCAGATGTGATCTCTGTGGGTCAATTTGTGGTTATGGAAGTCATCCCAATCCTTAAAGATTATGTTACAGAGTCTGCAATCTACCTTGGTATCAGGCTCGCCCGTCTTTGTGTCTTTGGTAGCCATGTCGAAGAGATTTTAATTGTTTCTAAACGTGATTGATGCTCTGAGTGTTGATATTGATCATGCGACGGATCGAGAGTAGTGTAGAAAGTTATGTCGTTGGTCTGAGGCACATGAAATTCCGACCTAGAAAGCAAGACTGAATGAAAAGAAAGGATGGTACCAAAAACGAACTCCTGCGTTTCTCAAGGCTTAGCCAACCTAGCTTCGAAGGAAATCAGAGAAAAAGAAATAATTTATCATGCATGGAAAATCGTGGGGTGAAGAATATGAGTTTGAAGGAAAAACTGTTTGTTGTGTAAAGAAGTGAGAAGTGTGAGAAGGGAGTGGGAGGCTTTGACTGTTGGTCGCGTGGTTACAGAAGAAGCAAATTGGGAAAGAACAAAAAGAAAAGGACAAGACCAACTTACTAAATAATAAGGCTACGGCGACAGCAGCAGCAGACATCACTTTTCAAAATAAAATAAAACTACATTAACCAATGAACAATCCGCCGACAGTTGACTTTTACAAAGACAAGAAATTGGAGGGAAATTGGAGGGTAAAAGAGGGGAAGAGAGGAGAAGAGAGGAGAAGAGAGGAGAAGAGAGGAGAAGAAGAAAACAAATACAAAAGTGAATAGAATGGCTAATAGCTTGCGCCTATGTGGGTAGCTATCATCTCATTCTTTCCATACACAACGGATTTCATCTAAAGCTTCTAGCTGCCCCGGCCAGCTTTATCTACTTGTACACGTTGAGTGAAAGAAACCCCCCCTTCCTTCATCAAAGCTAAACACACATTCTTCCTCTTGACCACGATGATATGCTTATTCTTCAGAGACATGACCACGCTGAGTGACAACTTATATATCAGTCATGCTGTCTATACTCACCTTGGATATCGGCTAATATGTCTGCGCAGCCAAACGAACCAGGAATGAAATAAATCGGCAATCCGAAGAAGTACAGACAACAATATCTACGACGAAAGAGCATCAAATGCTACCTAGCACTGCAAATAGCTTTCATGCTCTCTGGTGCCGACAAGGCGAGACCTTATCTCTTATTTGAGGTGCTTCTCCTATTCAACCATGATTTCAATTACTTCCAATATTTAAGAACCTATTGATGGCCAGATATCTTTCATTTTCGGCAAGTAAGGGTGCAAGTAAGGGCACAAGCTGTACCGAGCTCATGCGGGTTTGGAAGCTCAAGAAATCATATCTTACGAATCTCCTGTCAAAAGCAAAGAGTGACGATCAGGAGAGATACCGTGAACGAAAGCTCTCTGCTATTGAGCCATTAAGTAGAACCACTGTCTGGCTCACCTGCTGAGTCTTCAGAAATTATAGGGAAAACTAGAAACAATCCCTCCGCTTCCACCAAGATACCCGAGAATCCCTATCCCAATCCAAGAGCCTTGCGGTGGCAGGATGACAGAGAGTTCGTGTAATACTTTAGGTACTGCTTAGTACTCATGAATGATATTACTACATATTAGATCTTGTAGATATTGAATTTATAACTGCTATTACTCGCCAACTACAGAGGCCATCTCATTTATACATGTCTATGTAGGTATACATAGCAACACTAGCGATGTTCGATGTTGGGATGCTGAGGTCAGATGGATTAGAACACAGACCTATCGTTCAATGAAGAACGCCGTATCCTACCAAGTGAATCCAATTCATCACTGCTCATTGCTCATTGCTCATTGCATTGGACCAGAATGTCAAATGGATGATTTATTTGTGATCATGAGTGAAGTTTGTGCAAATTGACACTGTCATCTATCTTGTCGGAAGCCCGGGCTACGGAAGCCGATCTGTGCCTAGGTACCTACAGCATGTTTAATCAGCCAAGCTCAGCCTCTATTAAACGGAACACAAACACCAGCTGGTCTGTTATTCCAACAACTCCTTGAATAATGCGAACAATAAAGTCATGTTTCTCTGATGAATCCCATGGCTACTCTATCGCCACCAAGTCCTCCTAGATCTCCTGGCCCTTCAAGAATGTCTCGAAAATGGGCTAGAAAGTGCGAACGTTATTGTTGCATTGGCGCAACTTACTTCCCCCTTGTATTTGTATACAGTATTACAACCTGGGCTGTCTGGGTAGAAACTACAATTGGATTTCTGGCAGATGGCAGCAGAACAAACTGGATAGGTAAGCTTTATTGTCGCAAACAAAATTTTGCAAAGCTAACATTTCAAAGGAAAGGGGACGTCATTTCTAGGAATCATTATATATCTTCTCCTGAATTGGTCATACACGGCTGCGGTCTTCACGAGTCCAGGAACTACCACGGCCGCAAACCATGGATATAGCGCCCTTCCAACACACAATCCGGTAGCGACAAGCTTCACGGTGAAATCGAATGGGGAATTGCGTTATTGCAAGAAATGTCAGGCAAGAAAGCCAGATCGATCTCACCATTGCTCAACATGCGGAACTTGTGTATTAAAGATGGATCATCATTGTCCATGGTTAGCTACCTGCGTTGGACTGCGAAATTATAAGGCCTTCCTCTTATTCCTGATATATACAACATTATTTTGTTTTCTCTGTTTCGCAGTCTCCGGAACTTGGGTTTGGAGAGAGATATTGAGCGATGGAGAATATACCGATTCATTGTTGCCCGTCAATTATGTGATGCTAGTGGTAATTTCCGGAATCATAGGATTGGTCTTGGCAGGTTTTACAGGATGGCATATTTTACTATCATCCCGCGGTCAAACGACAATTGAGTGCCTCGAGAAGACAAGATATCTATCCCCATTGAGAAAGGCTATGCAACATCAACACATCCCTGAAGATCAAACCCATGGATCATACGAACAATTAGAGAGAGCTCGAGCACGAGATCGATATGAGCAATATCTTGACGAACAAGATTCGGAAAAATTACCTAGCGCATTCGATCTGGGTTGGAGGAGAAACTTCAGGCATTTATTCGGACCCAAGGCATTGTTATGGGCCGTTCCTATACCCACCACTACTGGAGACGGATGGAGTTGGGAGGCAAGTCCAAAATGGCTGGAGGCCCGAGAAAAACTTGCCCGAGAAAGAGAAGAACAAAGAAATAGAGAAAGGGCTGCTGGCTGGGGCGAGCCAGCATCTCCAATAATACCCCTTCCAAGATCAGAGGGAGCTGGCAGACATTATGTTTCCTATCCCACACAACCCAATCGAGCCAACCGTTCTCAATCTAAAGCAGACCGAATCTTGGGGCGAAGCCCAAATCAATATGTAGACGAAGCAGACTCAAACTCCGTCTCGATGCAAACACTGCAGCCAAGAGACAGCGATGAAGATCCTTACGAAATTAGTAGTGACGAAGATGAGGCCGAAAGACAAATCCTCGACAGAAAGGCTGCCGCTGGGTGGCCTCAGAGAGTTGGGGTGGTTACGAATACACTACTAGGAAATACGATAGCACGACAAAAGGATGACACAAGAGGATGGGATGGACATGTACATGGACACGATGATGTAGATTAAATTTCAAGATCTACACTGTTTGTCTCCGGTTTGGGGATCATCGGTTTCGTCCTTTGTATGATATAGATTAAACTTTGGATACTCATAATGTTGGTGAATGGATGGATATACGGAGTCTCGGAATATACTATGTTATAATATTATCATTCCTCATAATTAATACTTCATTTTTATGATCGAATAACGACGTGGCAAGTAATCTTCTACAAATCGTCTCGTATATTCTCTCCCCTGAAAATCACTTCAACACTTCTCTACTTTTCGCCTCCTTTTCGTCGCTCCTCTCGTTTTGCCCTTGGCACTAGGTTTGCTCGGCTGTTACCCCTTGTCTTCTCAGATTAGCAGCAATACAATACACATCAATGCGTATCTAAGTGAAAAGAAATCGATATTGGTTCCCTAGTTATTGCAACACATTTACTTTTCAGGAGCAAGAACTTCTAAAATATAGTATGACCTATGATGGAAGAGCTGGCTATAATGTAGGTACAATTGAGCACTGTGTACAGCTGTTTCTTTTTGCGTAAATGCGATAATCACTCATGCTATGAAAAACTTGGAATGAAGTGAGCTAGGTATGTAGTGAAACATGGCTAAGTTTTGATTCAATGATAGACAGCGAGGAAATACCGTGACTTTCACATTGACTCTATACGACTACTTACTAGGCATACCACCAACTGTGATGAGAACACCAGGAAGCACTACAACGATTACGTAATCGTTCTCAAGGCCACGTTATCGCAACATTTCAATCGTTATCTACGGCATGTGTTCTGGTGCTCTTCGCGCTTGTAACTACGATCGACCTGTCCAGTTACACCATAGCGTTGAATGAACAGCCACCAATTATTGAAAAGAAATCCATTACTCATTTACACGCAAAAGATCCTTCAATCATCGTATTAATCTTTCAGAGAATAGGTCAGGTAACCTCTCTTTCCAGCCCAGAAGCTCAATAACTATTTTCGATCAATTCTCAATCATGGCGCCTGGTTTCAATACCAAATCTCCCACGTTGAAGCGCATCAGTAAGTTGTTCTGTACCCCACGATCGTTCCTCGCATGTGCTAATCAGTGGCGTAGTGAAAGAAGCCGCCGAACTCTCACAACATCCATCTCCAGACTACACAGCTTCCCCGGCTTCAGATACCGATCTGTTTGATTGGCACTTCACATTGCGCGGCCCTCCATCCTCATCTTTCGCCGAGGGTATCTATCATGGACGCATCGTTTTGCCTCCCCAATATCCTCTTCGACCTCCTTCCTTTAGATTTTTGACGCCCAGTGGAAGATTCGAGGTGAATCGTGAGATCTGTTTAAGTATAAGTGGGCATCATGAGGAAACCTGGCAGCCTGCGTGGGGAATACGAACCGCCTTAGTAGCTCTTAGATCCTTTATGGAAACTAGTCCTTCAGGACAATTAGGAGGGGTTGATGCGAGCGACAGCGTTAGAAAGAGAATAGCAGGGGAGAGTAGGGGGTGGAAGTGCGGCGTTTGTGGTGGAAGGAGCTGCGAGGAGATTTTAGGAGAAGCAGAACAACTTGCGAAGGAGCTGGAGGGTGAAGGAACGAGTTCAAATAGAGAAGAGGAGATAGTACCACCTGACATGCAAATAGGGCTCAAGAAGGAGACTAAAGCGGAAACGGGATCAAACCAGGAAATCGATGAAGGAAATAGTAAATCTACAGAGGAGGTAAAGCCGGCACAGGCTGAGAGTGAGTGTCCACCTGCGAGGCCAGCGCAAACGGTACCTCAACCCACAGCTACGATACCACATCCTCAACATCCTCAACCTCAAAGACAAATGGCACAAGCTCGTGTCCAGTCAGACCAAGGTGTACCCGTATGGGTCGATCGGGCTATTGCTGGAATAGTATTATGCTTAGTAGTCATGGTTTTGAAGATGCTATTGGGAAAATAAACAGGGCTTCAGGGTGTTTTAGTTCAGGGATTTTTCGGATAAATATATTGTTGGGTCGGGAGGAATGATGACAAGGCGTTATTCCGCTGGGCGGGTATGGATCTAGTAGGCGTTTCCTAAAACTTGATACCATTATACAGAGAATGCAGGATACTTTTCACATAGCCTAGTTGGCACCTCATTGTACCAAATCAAGAATTCCCGCGTGTGGTGAGTAAGTTGCGGACGTCACAACATGCCGGTAGCTCTACATATCGCAGATGTCAGGTTCCTGGTTCTTGATACACGACATTCTCTTAGGATCAGAATTTCAATTCCTGAATTCTCTGTTTTAAGCATATCAGACTCGAATCTCACACATTTCTTGAGCTGCTCGAAGTGCATTTATCCAATCTTTCCAAATAAAATTCTTTAACGGTCTGTTGGCTCTTCAGCAAAAAATTGGCTGATCAGTATACACGACTGAAAGCAGGCAGTTGGACAGTCAATAAGGCCATCTGTCGTGCAACTATACATTGCCATCTTCCAAATTTCTAGAAAACTGATTTTACTGGAATTCCGAACAATTCCACTGGAGCTTCGTTATCGCACTCCACAAACAGCCACCATTGATGTAGTAAATTGACTGATCCACACTTGTCACAAAGCACCTGTCGATGTCTTTTCTTTGCTTGTAGTGGTATTATATTGCACTACAATGACATATAGCCCCCAATATGGTAGGTATTACACTTTCGTACTTATCCTTCAGCCAAAATCTTTTCTCGGCTCCTCTTTATATCTTTAGCAAATCACAACATTCAGGAGATCTAAACATTTCCGGTCACTAGAGAAAGCTTCGTATGAAAGACGGATGGCACAATGCCAAGTTTATTTGCACTTCATCAAAGAGAACAAGAGTTTTGGTTTTAGGAATGTATTGAAACGATTTCGAGGCCGCATTCTACCAACAAAGACTTCTTTGAGCACAGCTCCAAATGTTACTTTCTTCGAGTAATCTTTACAAGTTTCAAAATATTAGATAAAATTGAACTGGTATTGTATCATCTTTAAAAACACGCCGCCCGAATCAATTCTCGATAATATGGAAGAGTCTGAAGGTTCTGAATGGCAACGCGAGCCGTTACCCAATTTTTTGAGAATTCCGGGGCTACAAAATTTTATCAAGGAAGTTTACAAGGGCAAGAAGGCCGTGCCGTATCCACAAGATGTTGGCCTCCATAATTTTGAATTGGATCTCGGCGATGCAGCCTATGATTTCGCTGTATTGGATGGACCTGTTAAGGAAACATGGGGAGATTTGACTCAGTGGTTCAATGCAGAACATGGCTACGATGGTACCTTGCCAAAAATAGCACCCCCGAAAGAATCCGACGAGCTCGACATACAGCCAGAATATAATGATTTGTTTTGGGAGAATCACAGCATTGACTCGATTGCAAAACGAATTGCAAGTAAAGCGCGGGACGAGAACTCAGATCCCCCCATCGATTTTTATCATAAACCAAAGCCTTTCTTGCGTGGCTTGATTGATTTCCAAAATATCTTTGGTCACGGGGCTACCGAAGACCCTCTCGATGAGTATAGTAAGCAAAATCTGCGCGAGGATTTGATTGCTGCGTCGATGTTTCATCATATTGCGACGACGATTTTGAGGAATCCTTTCTTCTTCTTGGATGATGTAAAAAAAATGATTGGGACAGAAGACGGTCCGCATAATCCTGTTGACAAATTATATCATGACATCCTCCAGTGTAAGTATTAACCAGCCGAAATGAACTAGTATGCCGTCTAATGTAGCATCGCATAGATGAATCTCTACAAAACCAGCTTGTCGCCAAATCTTTCCGGGCGCATACGCTTAGATTACTTAGGCCCCAAGAGGAGTATAGCCATAGTAAGAGCATTGCAGCCAGAACAAATGGTAAAATTCGGAGAGTAGCTCAAGCTCGAGCAAAACAATGGTTGAGAAGCGAAGCACAGGATCTTTGGCTGCCGACCACAGAAAAAATCGACGAACATGAAGTTGAGATTCTTTACGAAAGAGCTGCGGAATTAGCAGTTGCGGTTGCTTCCATGACATGGACGGATATTCAAATTGAAACACTAGATAGTTATACGCCTTTGCCACACCCCACTATTCCTTGCCTTCCTTTATCATTCTGGAAACACTACAAAGCCGACCCAGCTTTGCATCATATCTCCGACATGTCGAAGTATCTTTTGGGAGACATTCCCGTGCCACCACAAGACTTAAAGGAACTAAACGAGCTCGAAAAGCAAGTTAAACTAGTCAGGTGTAGACTTGTCATGTATGTGCATATTCAACATCCTGAAAATCTCGATCCAAAACAACCGTATCTTGAGGTCGAAGGGTACCCGTTCCTAGACGCGGCCCAGGTTAAAGAATGTCCAGAACAGCTATATCTGGAGTTACCAGAATTGGAAAAGCAAGAGCCTGATCCCCGGAAGCTAGAAAGAATCTACAGCGATGAGGACTTGCCCAGACGACCCCCGATACTGCGTGGCATGTTTGGAGAAAAAGTCACTTGGCGTAAGGTGTGGAAGTTTTACAAATGGCTCTTCGATTCCGCTCTCTATTATATCCCGTTTTACGCGGTGGCGCTGGGAGTTCCTTTTGTAGTTGCATATGGCTTTTACAGACTTCCCTTTCTTCGGACTGGTGAAGAGGGTCCCTCTCTTCGGACCGATGAAGAGGGTCTCCCTCTTTCGACTGATAAAGAGTATCTTCATCCTTGGAATGATGAAGAGGGGGTAGCTTGGCGGTTTTTGCCTAATATTCGGAATCTAAATTCCTCTTGGCGAGATGCATTGTCCTCAAACTTCTTCAGGATCCTCGGCTGGCTGGGGATCTTAAAATTGTATGATCTAGCGATGACTGCTCTCTATAATCTTTTCGGTCGATGTTTTGGAATCTTTGCTTATGGGTGGGGATTGGCCCTTCATTCCGTCACAACTTCGAGAGAATTTATGTCTGGCTTGTATGATGCCACCGCGGGATATATCGTTTCCACAACAATATGGAATCTCCTAATTGAGAACCAGGAATTCGCAAAAGGCTTCCTCACTTGTTTTATAATGGTTGTCATCCTATATTTTCAGGCGGACAGGCTTTTTGTGGGAGCGCCAGGTCTACCTCCATGGTACTTACGTCCGCTCACGGGTGTTCTTTGTATTTGCCAGTCGTTATGGTTTGATTCTGTAAGACGCATGCTTTCGGGTTTTGCTGGTTACGTATTAGATGTGCCGAAAACTGTGATGGATATGTTCGGGGACTCATTTCATCTCCCAGAAACCTTCAACTGGGTGTTAGAATGGATTTCTGGAATTGGTGGCGACACGAGCGTCTCTATCATACCAGAATTCGACCCAAGTCAGGCTGGGATTTCCATCATACCACAGCCAGAGCCAGGAACAAGCGATGGTGTTCCACAACCTTTTCAATTGAGCCCAGATGCGGAAAACACGCTTTCAGAATCAACACTTGGAAACGTGTTGACGGGGTCAAAACTTGGGGGGGCAATACTAATATCGAATCTTTCAAAAGAACAAGGTTTATCGAGTATCGCTGAAATGCTAGAGCGGTCGGAACTTGGCCGAATATTAGGATTATTTGGATTTAGGAAATCGGTCGTAGGAAGAGGACCCATCGAGCAATCTTTGAAAGGGTCTTTGCTTGGATACATATTAACAGGGTCTGATACCGAAAAGAGGCTGGTAACTACAACGCTAGGAGCAACATTAGCAAAATCGGACCTTGCAGAAATGTTTGCAGAATCAGAAATCGCGAAATCGTTACCACAATCAGAGCTCGCAGGTCGAATAACCGAAGCCTTAAACATAGAACTGGGCTTGGAGGGGCCCGCGCAGAAAATACCGTCTGTACCAATGCTTGGAAAAGTACTAACAGGACTCAATCTGGCAGAAACGCTAGAAGGGTCATTGCTTGGAAAGATAATAACGGGATCAACTTCGGGACCTATTCTTCCAATAGGCGCTCTTACTGCGTGGGAAGGACTAACACCACCAATACCATATCTTCCTAGAACACTTGTCATGGAGGTAGAACCTTATTCGCAGATTATCACGAAGATAGTGACAATAGTCATGAAGCCGATAACGACGATTCTCAGCCCTTTCCAAATGATAGTAACGAGAATAGTTTCGGTAATGAGGAAAGCACCAATGATAGAATCTCTTCTTCCAATGGTGGCAACAGTAGCGAATGAAGCTCTGAAGCCATTCGCTCCGGTAATAGGTTTCTTGAGCGGTGTCTCCTATAACGGTACCACCGAGCTATCAACTCACGTGGTGTCGGGACATGTTCAAAAAACTGGCACACCAATAGCGGAATCTGTTCTCCCAATAATAGCGAAAGCGTTCACAATGATTTTGAAGCCAGTGGCATCATTAGTGGCCATGTTCTCTGGGTTTTCCTTCCCTGATTCTCCTATCACATACTTAAAAATTACTTTCAATCCAACCATCGTGTCATTCGTCATCGCTTGGATATTAGGTCCCGCGTTTGTATGTGGCTTTTACATAGCTTTACGGCGCTACATAAATGCCTGGGGTCAGGCAGATCGCGACAGACTTCCCCATAAGTGGAATCTTCCACGACCACTGATCATGATACTTGATCTACTCACCTATGTCTTTCGTAAACTTCGCTCAGCTTATCACATTTTCCTTCGATTTCTCGGTGCATTGGGTCGTTTAATCAAATATGTTTTTCGTCCATTTGTATTTCTCCTTCGCCCATTTATATGGCTTTACGCCTTCATTGCCCCTGTTCTTCGCCCATTTAGATGGTTAGGCTACCCATTCGTGTATGTTTATCGTCAGATTACCAGAGTGGGTGTTTATACCTGGCGATTAATACCATCAGGACGGTATCTTCTCCTCCAAGTTTTGACTTTGATCGTATTTGTATTATATATTGTTTTTCCTCTATTGGAATATGCTTATTGGCTGTTCGCTCTATTCGAAGATTTCCGTCACCCAAGGCCTCAACTGCCCCAAATACCATTCATCAACGGAATAGTCGGGTTTGTTATTCGCGTATACGAAATGGTTCTCCAACTATTCGCAGACATAAGACAGAAGTTAATAGATTGGTACAATTTCTTACACTTGAATGCCTTTGCTCCCATCCAAGGGGTAATCGATGCAACATTATTCTTATACAGACAAATTGCTCGCTTCTGCAACTTCTTTTTCCGCACCTCGAAATTGGTTTATTATTGTACGGCTTTTCTGATATATGTAATGTTTGGATGGGACACAGCAGTCTTCTTTGCCCCTGGACAAAATCCAGAAATTCTTTTGGCTCTCCGAGCTATCCGCGCTCATCTCTGGAAGAGCCCTTTCGCTGCAGTTAGAGTTCCTGGTCGGAAAGATGATTTGGCCTATCATCATTTCCCTGGGTTTGCCCAGGGTCGTCATCGCTCTCTTCCTCATCCACAATGTGAGTCACATTTTCCACCCTCCAAATATCAACAACAGATTGTATAGACTAACACCATCCAGGGTTTCCCTATTTCCATTTGCTGATTGGGGCATCTATTGGCATTTTTATATACTTGACCACAGGTCATCATCCTAGTGGCCCTAATTCTCTTCTTCAAACCAGTGATTTGAACTCGACCTTGGATAAATTGATAGAAACTTGAGATCTTGGAAAATTTCTGCCAATTGTCTTTGCTGGAACTGTACTACGTAAAATCCATGGTTCTGTTTCAAGGGTGCTTGTTAAATAAGGGAAGGCTGTGTATTTAATCTATTTATTTCGATCATTTTGACATGTAATGCATAGGGAATCAAAAATCAAACAATTATTCTAAAAACTGTATATCTGATGGTACCCTAGAGGCTTGAATCCATCATATACCCTCACCCCTTATATTAAAACCATAAACTCCTCAGAATTCCCGCAAAGTTCACAGTATGTTACTACCTTATAGCTCAGGTACATATTGACTATTGCATGAAAGCTCTGTAAAACATAGACTATTATGTCTTTTTAAGATCGCAAAAAATACCGCCCAGGGCCAGCTGTTGATAATCTCATGTGTGTTTTATGTATACTATCTAGACAGAAGTACCTAGTGTTATCACAAGCGTGCACTACTTATTCACTCAGGTCATTCTCCAAATCCTGATGATACACCCCTCCAGAAACATTGGACTCATGAACACGATGCAGTTCTCCAGTGAAAGCTCTAACATATAAAACAACAAAAGTTCTTTCGTGATTGAGAACGTTTTATACTCGATGAATCATCAAAGGATCGGAAAACTATAACATATTACGGAAGAAACTGGTAGATTCCTCATCAAGTTTGTGCAACAGCCATTGATAGATAATTGAAGATTCAAACCATTCACAACGATTGACATCCGGCATCTTTTCTATAAAAACATCGTTGCAAACACTTGCGACCTTTATATCGCTTCTTGTCTCTGGTAGCATGCCAACAATGAAGTCTGTGACCAAAGTCCTCCAATGTTTGGTCAAATCAGGACCCCAAGAGCTCAACTCTCATGTCACGCACAAACCTACCCCCAGTATCAAAAAACTTTCACCAAATAGCCACAAGCGCAAAGAGCTCATCAATCTTCTACTATGCAACATATGTTCGCCCACTTTCTCGCAGCATCCGATTATACCCACCTTTGCAGACCTTGGGCGACCAATTCATAATACTATGGGCAGATATACAATCTGTCTAACGACTGAGGAACATCGTATGAATACATATGCTAAATTCTTTGACAACCTTTTTTTTGCAAACAAGGTAAGGGATTCCTGTAGCCTTCTGCGAAAAGACACGGGGGTAGAAAGTGGTACATTCGGCGAATTTGTGCAGTGGGAAGAGAAGCCGCAGGTTATATTTTACACCGAACTTGGTAAGAAGACGAGCTTGACAAACGAGAAAGATAGGAAAGTCTTTTTGGAGAGACTATTGGTTGGGATGTGCTGGACGTTTTTGCATATCTATGAGTGCAAGGAGACATGTTGCTCGGAGTCACAAGAAGAGGGCGCTGAGCTGGAAAGACTATTTGAAGAACTGTCTAGGGTATCGGAGAAGGATTTGGGTATTCAGCTGGGGTTGAAAGGAAAGGAAGAGGACTTTGTGAGAATAGGAACGTCCTCCTTTTCTCCTGCTCGCTATGGTGCGACAAGGTTCTATTAAAGGAATGTGATTGTCGATGTATTTGAGCACTCTCTATGCATTCATGTCATAGAATAGCAACACACATAACGATGATATTATTGATTATCTGTATCTTGTTCATTGTTGATCCTCGCTTGTCCATGTATTCTATCTATACTTGGATGAGATACCCTGACAAATCACATCCATGCGGATGGATTCCAGCCCCTGTTTTGCCCAACAGGCGACCTGCGGTCTTTGAAGGTCACTGTCGTGGAAGTAGAGTATTCAGATTTCCCTTTCTTTGGCCTCTGAATACACTATATATTCAGGATCATTGAAGGCCCCGGATCGTTCCGGAATCTTATAACGGCCCTATGAGAGTTCATATCAAGATTTTTATGTGAAGGTTCACTAGAGCCTTAAGACATTAACACTCCCGTCTCTCATTTTCGTTTCGACAAATTCTTAGATACATAGACGTCAATCAACTTATTTCATTGCGTTGATGCATGTTCTGAGTGAAGTTTATCAATCTTGAGTCTCGCCCTAATGCTTCCGAAAGCTAATCCAAATGAAGTTTAGCTTATCTATCAACATTTCGGAGCGCGGATTGTAAGCTTTGAACAAAAAGTCCCAACGTGCCACTCGAGTTGAAGGTTCGTGAGAATACCTAGTAGCTTGTCAATTTTTCTCCATTCCTTCACATCCTCACCTCCCTCTCTTGAACTTCTTCGCTGAGGGTCTTCTTTCCTACCACATAACCCCATCTTCAAGATGTCACGAATCCTACGACCAGCGAGTCGTTTCATTTCTTCAGCTCGCCCAACACGAAATGCCTTTCAATCTTTTTCCCGTCTACCGGCCATTGTACAAAGCAGAGGATATGCAAAGGAAAGTGGTGTTAAGGAATATACAGTCAGAGAGGCTTTGAACGAAGCCTTGGCCGAAGAATTGGAGTCAAATCCAAAGGTCTTTGTTCTGGGTGAGGAAGTCGCTCAGTACAATGGCGCATATAAGGTTACCAAGGGTTTATTGGATCGTTTCGGTGAAAAGAGAGTTATCGATTCTCCCATCACTGAATCGGGTTTCTGCGGTTTGACCGTCGGTGCTGCGTTGGCAGGTTTACATCCTGTGGTAAGGACTTTTCTCCATTTCCTCGCCTTCCACCGAAAGTCTTTCGAGATAAGAGAGAGTAATAGCTAAAACTCAGTTCTACAGTGCGAGTTCATGACTTTCAACTTCGCAATGCAAGCTATTGATCAAATTGTCAACTCCGCCGCCAAAACTCACTACATGTCCGGTGGTATTCAACCCTGTAACATCACATTCCGCGGACCCAACGGTTTCGCATCTGGCGTCGCAGCACAACACTCCCAAGATTACTCTGCATGGTACGGAAGCATACCCGGTCTCAAGGTCGTCACTCCATGGAGTGCCGAAGATGCCAAAGGATTACTCAAAGCTGCCATCCGCGACCCCAACCCTGTCTGCGTTCTCGAGAACGAATTGTTGTACGGTCAATCTTTCCCAATGAGCGAGGCCGCTCAGAAGAATGACTTCGTTATTCCATTCGGTAAGGCCAAGATTGAGCGTGCTGGAAAGGATCTCACTATTGTCACTTTGTCCCGCTGTGTTGGACAATCTCTTGTCGCAGCTGAGAACCTTAAGAAGAAGTATGGCGTCGAAGTCGAAGTTATCAACCTCCGATCTATCAAACCTTTGGATGTCGAAACCATCATGACCTCCCTTAAAAAGACCCACCGTCTCCTCGCTGTCGAGTCCGGTTTCCCAGCTTTTGGTGTCGGTGCTGAGTTGCTTGCCTTGACTATGGAGTTCGGTTTCGATTATCTCGATGCTCCAGCCCAAAGAATTACTGGTGCCGAAGTCCCAACTCCATATGCTCAAAAGTTGGAAGATATGAGTTTCCCTAACGAGCAGTTGATTGAGAACTACGTTGCCAAGATGTTACGATTGTAAGAAAATGAATGTTTCTAGAAGTGATAACGAAGATGATGGGCTGGGGTTGGGAGGGGTGGAGGACGTGTATTAAATAGCATACTCCTGGCAAATATACCAATAAGACCTTTGTTTGAACCCGTATAATACCAATCTGGATCCAAGTAAATGTGAATTCATGAGTGTTTTACTATGATCTATTCTTCCAGACTAATCCGACATCACGAAATCCAAAAATTGTTGCCATGATCTCCAGACAGTTGAGAGGTTATCCAGTGTCAAATGATTCATGGCGGGTCTTTTTTGTTTAATAACGACTTGACATCCTATAGTAAAGCTACTTTAAACAGACATCATCGTTGGAACATTCAGCTAAAATTTCAGAAACTTCATGGCATTCAAATTGAATTCAAAAGTCTAATCACGTCGATTTTATGATTACAGAGAATAACCCTTGTTATATGACGATTTAGCAACACTCAACATAATAAGTATCACAAGCACGAAATGAGAACAGATGCCCGTTCCTCAAATTCTGATTTCTCTACAATGATATGATATAATATGTTGTGCTATTAGTGCAAAGACCTATCCGATACGCTCCAAACTCCTCGTAAGGATTGCTCCGCTTCGCTGCAGATTGAAAGAATAATCAAAACTATGTTCCCCAAAGCCGTTTCCTATCATCCTGAGCTCGCGCATAAAACAAAGACAACACCGCTTAGACACCCATAGTAAAGTCGTGCTCAATACCTGGTGTCACGCTTGCCATGAACTGGGATTTCGTTAGCATAATTCACTATACTAGAGGCGCAAAGTAACTGACCTTCAAAAATACAACGAGATATTGGTCCACACGGATAGCAACTTCTTCCTCCTCGTTGGCAAAATCTTGATCATGTTGTAATACCTCCCACTCATCATTGCCATTCCCACCAGCTTTCAGACCCTCGAGAACAGCCTTTTTATCACTGATTTTGGTCTTCTCGAAATCGTCAACTAGGCCCTCCATTCCGGTATCCTTAGAACCGGGTACTGTCTTGCCTTGTCTTTGTTTCTCTCGTCGAAGCTTTAGGGCCGCGTCTGCACGATCCAGAAGGGTCTTCATAACACTGGCATGTTTACAAGGATGAATGGAGGCCATCTTGATGTTGTTGCTGAAGTATGGGAAGTCTTCTAATGTGACGGTCTTGTCCTTATAGTCACCTACAATATCCTCCATCATAAGGTGTGGTGGGAGGGGTTGGGAGCTTGAGAGATATCCTGAGAGGTATAGTCGAGGAGTTCTGTAATAGGGTGTATATGCGATGTAGATAGTATATGTTCGACGAGATCTGAGGAATGAAACGTTAATATCTAGGCCTCAACCTAATCTCTAGAAACACTTACGAACTCGCATTGTCAGCCTTAGGATCACGAATAATCGCTTCATCGTCATCGTCGTCATCCTCCATATCTGGAATATCATCCTCATCATCTTCTCTCTCGCCCATCTCACCGCTCTCATCTACTGTTCGTACATCTCTCACACGGGCTTCTTGACTGGCGGCCAACCCTCCAGTCCTCAGCCAACCATCTTCATCATCGCCTGGAGAATGAGGACCATCGCCTCTGAAATCCTCCCCATCTCTAACAACAGTTTCATCATGGCCTGCATCGCCTGCAAAATCATCATCGAGTCTGCGATGGCAAGGCACGCCACGGGTAACTAGAAACTGCTTGCCGGCTGGTAGATAGTTGGCGCGCTTGCTTGTTGGGGATGCATCAGCCCATGACCATGTTGGAAATTTGAATACCAAATAATCTCCAGCTGCTACGAATTCTTCTGGTGTGATCTGTCCGTTGGTGCGAAAAGTAGAGGTATTAGATACAGGTGTAAGTTCTCGAAGTCTATCGAGAGTACTGTGGAGGAAGTTCATGATGGCGGGGTTGCTTCCTTTGATGTTGAGCGGGGTCTCAAGGACGAGATGTTGATCTTGATGGGATTTGCAAGGTTTTATCTATCGTATTATTTTTTGTTCGTATGGGTTCAAAGGAATCCGGAAGGTTGAATGCGGGTTGGATTTTATATGTATGTGGATTGTTGGATATGGTTGAGTCAATGGTAGAAAGTAGCCTTATGATGATGTTCTTATCGATAAAGACGATAACCTTCGAGACGGTGAATGATTTAGTCCATGTGACCGTTGACATTGATATTAGATGCATGCTCTCTGTAAACATACTTCTGTTGCCATTGCCTCCCGATATTAAAGATAGATCGCATTACATTGAAATACATTCATTATATCTAGATTTATATATTGTTGTCAATCTTTTGACTCATCATCGAAACAATAAAATTACCTACCTGGGTAAGATTATTGTATCGTGAATCCGTTACTCCACGCACGCAAATACAACTTTCCACATCCGGAAGACAACAAATACATTGTACACTCGAGAAAGTATTGAGTCTATTCTGGAGCGACAAATCTACTGACAGTAGTGATCGCGTGTTTATACAGCTGCAACGCTCGAAGGAACTGAAGCTTTCCATATCTCTCTCCCAAGACATGTTAGTTATCTGCTCAATGTCAATCTGTTCAAGAAGCGCCATACTGTATGATAATTTGTCGAAGTCAATCATAAGAAGGATGAATATCATGGTATTATCCACCATCTAAAAATCCTGTATTCCAGTTTCTCCACCAACTGTTTCCCCAGTTTCTTCTTCTCCTAACCATTCCGGTTCTTCATCCTCGAACCATCGCTCTTCAACGTCCCTATTTTCAATCTCGTCCCATTCCCCACCAGCATCTACATCGTGATAATCAAAATCTCCATCTTCCCCCCTAAGAAACTTGAGTGTCATCTCAAACTTCCATCTTTCGAAGCCGTCCTCCTTACTCCTCGGTACTTCATCCGGATCTTCAGGTAAAACTTCACCACTTTGACCTCTGGCATAGCTCAAGTATGGAACCCCGTGATCTTCTTGAATGCGCCCAACATCTTCATCTTCATCCTTAGGGCGCGAATCAGAGTTGCCCTTCAATGCAGCAAGCTTAGCTTCTGATCGATATAGATCTGCTTCCAATACACCTGGTGGAGATACTTATTACCATCAGAAGAACTAAAGACGATCGAAATCATTGAAGATTTGCCTACCAGAATAACCTTTTGCTCGTCCATCAGCTTCTCTTTCCGCGGCAGTCTGGAATCTCCTGATGCATCGGTCATACAATAACGGATCTGAATATGATTAGTTACCAAGTTGTTTAAGTCAATATAGCAAAAATTGACCTGCAAGCTCTAGGTCCGGGGCAGTGAAATATGATGGATGGCGATCAAGGTACAATTTCCTGCGGTTTTTGATCTGTATGCGAGCTACACGCTCTGCAGAGTCCTGCGTTTGTGGCTCCAATGTATTAGGCTCTCTGTGAGGCATGACGATAGGCTCAATGTTGTGGGGATCAATATTTGGATGAATAGATTCTTAAGTCATGCGTAAGGAGTTCAAGTGGCGAGATTGGTTGATTTTCGCAATTTGTTGTCAGATTATGAGATGACTGATAGTTACTTTTCACAAACAATACCTAGTAAGCATCAGATATGAAGTATTAATCTATGGTGATTTGATGAATGATATTTACCGAAAATATATTGTGAATATCCGAACGAAACGTTGGTTGATATTGGGGGCTCAGTCGTGGCAATGAAGTACACCAGGGTGCTGGTATTACATATGAGTCACGAGGTCGCCTCGGCTAGCCTGGACCGTTTAGATTCATATACTATAGTCACGTCTATCTGACACCTAGAACATACCGTACCTGATCAACATATAATTTATTATCTTCATCTACAATTCAGGAAATCATTCACCAAATAATTCTTCAATCTTGAACATGACTTCAACTCTTCACGAAAAGGCGCTTCAGCCTCCGTTCATAACCGTCGAAGGGATACCCAACTTTCGAGATCTGGGCGGATATCCACTCGCATCGGGACCAACTTCGCATTCCGTAAGACAGGGAGTTGTCTATCGCTGTGGTGAGCCTCAAAGAGTTACCGAGAAGGGAATCGCCACTATGCAGCAGTTGGGAATCACTCATGTCTATGATTTGAGGTCTCAAGATGAACTTATTAAAAGTGCGGCCGCTGGTAGGGGTGGAGTGGTAGAGTGGGAGGGCTGTCAGCGAGTCTTCGCACCAGTATTCCCGACGGAGGACTATAGCCCAGAGAGAATTGCTATTCGATTTAAGGATTATGCCTCAAAGGGTACCGAGGTAGGTTTTCTTGATTAGAAGCTGCGAAGAGAAAATGTAGCTGAATGGCATTCTGAAGGGTTTCACTCGGGCATATGCCGATATCTTGAACAATGCTCCAAACTCATACCGAACTGTTCTTCTCCACCTTGCAAATGAACCTTCCAAACCATTGATCGTTCATTGTACAGCTGGTAAAGATAGAACTGGTGTTCTATGCGCGTTGATCTTATCTCTCTGCGGAGTTGACGATGAGGTTGTCGCACGGGAATATAGTTTGACAACATTTGGACTTCCGCAAGAGTGGAAAGCAGGAATCATCAAGCATTTAATGACACACCCAGCCATCAAAGACGACCATGAAGGGGCAGAAAATTTGATTAGCTCCAAGTATGTAATACTTTCTCTCGAAAAAGATATGTTGCTAACAAAAGCTAGAGCTGAGAACATGCTTGCTACTCTTAAGATGCTGCATGAGAAATTTGGGGGGGCTGAATCGTACGTGATAGAAAAGTGCGGTCTTACAATTGATGAGGTAGAAAGGATTCGTAGGAACTTGATTGTAGAGTCACCGGCTATTCACAAAGCTGCTTAGAAGAAGGATATAAAAGAATGATAGCAATCAGTTCCGAGAAATGTCTCGAGATCATATAGACACGTGACCATTTCGCTTAGCGTTTTCTTGGAGCTCTGATCCCAAGTTTAACTTAGAAATTTCCTCTCTGAGGGACCCCACGGTTTTGATCAACCACCCTCAATCCTCTTTCTTCACTACCTCAATTGAGTTGTTTTTATCATGAATCCTTCTTCAAGATGTCCGAACTTACTTGCGTCGGGGTCCGCTTATGCAAGATCCTTTCTTAATCAAGTACCTTCACGATCCTTCTCATTGACCCCCCCACAAAGTGCACGCAGAGCTACCAGAGCCAGGCGATCGCTCTTCAGGTGGCTTGGCACACAAGGAGAGAACTTCAGAAACCCATTAGACAACTCAACAAATTATATGGGGGCCTACAATCCCGATGGTAAATTAAAAAGAGTCGTGGAAGCTGCGGCAGATGCGCGAAAAGATGGTGGTCCAAAGCCCGACAGTCAAAATGAGCCCGATGCAAATGGCAACAAGGAGTTGCCGCCACAATCCGCGAGAGATATGATACCATTCCCGGGCAATCGAAAGTTCATAAGTCAATCGGTGCTGAGCGAAGAACTACGAGAGCTCATTTGGACAAAAATTATGCAGGATGCTATGTCGGTGAGAGAAGTGAGTGCCGAACTTGGAGTCGAAATGAGCCGCGTGGGAGCCGTCGTGCGTTTGAAGGAGATAGAGAAAGAATGGGAACGAGCGGTATGTCAAGAAATTTTTTTTTACAGCCTAACATACTTTGTGATGATTTATAAAATTCGATTAGTCTTCAAGACAACTACATGGTTACAAAATTATGCATGCGAGCCTCTCTGAAAGTTATTTACATACGTGTTTTATTTTGGTATTTGTTTTCAACCACAAATAAACTAATGTCCATTGTGCTAGGGAAAACCTCTTGCGAGACCATACGCCGACGCTGTCATGTCAATGGTCCCTGTGACGCAACTCAATACAGGGGCTAGCAGAACCACACACGAATCGATTAATGACTTACCTATTCACGCAGCAACGGGACAACAAATCTTCCACCCCACTTCAGAATCAAGGCGTTTTACCCGAGAGGATGCCGCGAAGATTTTCGACGAGAAACTTCTCCCCGCAGACCAAAGGATACCACACCCCGAATTGATTGAGATGCATAAAGATTTTAAAGCTGGATTGTCTCGAGATGAGAGAATTGCGCGACAAGATGCGCGAGATGAAGCGGAAGAACAAGTGAGGCAACGTAAAGCTGATCGCAAAGCCGCTGAAGAAGCCAAGATAATGAAAGTCCATACCCCTCGATGGGAGTTTAGAATTAAGGAAATCAATGTTGACGACATTGGTAAAGATGGTAGAGGAGCACATGGAACAGGTTGGAGGTATGGAAGACCTTTGATGGATAGAAAGAGGGGACAAGTCAAGATTCCCACGAGTGTCCAATAAGTGATGACCATAAGATTTTTTATCATAAGTGTATATTCATGGAGTTTTGAGGTTGGGAAGGGGTATTATGACATTAGCGACTATAATGAGCGCATACTTGTACATTTATCTTGTACGATACCAAACCATCGGAAGACCAGGAGAAATGAAGGATCTGCATATCCTTCCAGGTGTATTAAATACTATTGCGTCTTCAGTACCGATTGAAGTAGTAGCCTTGACGCGACTCTTCCAAAGATGCCACTTTCTATTGATGTGATGACCATTATTGATAGATACGAATCCTGAGTGAACAAAGTACAGTACTGGTTTGTATTGTAATCACAATTCGTTGAATGATAAGTATCAGCGTGGCAGAATTAAAGAAATCAGATAACCATTAATGGATATTCATTTATACATTACCTATATCGTGCTTGCTTTGTTCGAACGCAGTATACATTAATTTTTCTTGCATCTTTCGAAAAATTTCGCTTAGTAACCCTAATGACGCTTAGTGCGATTTTGGGTTGCCATTTTGCGTCGCGGGTGCATACAAAAGGGCATGATAAATCCAGAGGTTCCCGCAGACAAAACGCGACTCTGGAACTTTTTGACTTCACTTTCTGCTTACAAATACAACATCACGTGTACATCAAAAGAAGATCATCATCAGGCTCCTCATCGACACCAATCAAAGAAATAACTCGGAAATCGACTGGTTCATCTTTATCATTCATAACTTTCATTACACCTTCTGTCATTCACTCCCTTACACAATGTCTGACAGAGAATTTTCAAGTAAGTCAAGTGAATCTTTATATCACGTGACATGGCGCTGTACGGGGTGACGGGAAGGAAAGAGCCCTACAAAACAAGTGGTTCGTTCGAGTGTTCATTATATAAAGAAGTATCTATGGAGAGTCTTTAGTAGTTGAAGGCAATTTTGCGACTTGAAGTTTTATCAAATCCCTCCAAACACTCATACTCAAACCAAAATCAAGATGCCGACCGCGACCAATCCAAGTACCTTCCTCTCCTTTATATTGCTGCATTCCGTTACATAAACTCAAACGAGCTTAACTGACGCACTTTCTTCACAGGTAACGATGACCTATCGCTTCCTAAAGGTAACATTTCTTTCTTTTTCTTCTATCTTCATCATCATTATTATCCGTAACCATGGACAACGAATGCGATTGTTCTTCCCGCACGCGGGGAGTGAGCAAGGCACCAATTCCCATTGGCGACTACGATGTATATCCTACTTTATCAGCATCATCGTGCAAAAGGTGCGCCTACTGCCAGAAAAGAAAGGTTAGCCCTTCGCCTAAGCAGTCGAATTCAACAACTACTTCGAAGGCTTCTCACGCTCGGTGCAATGGATCAGATCATCACTATAGTGACTTAGACTTAACTCGTATTTCATTTCCATCCTCATATCATAGGTCACTTTATTTGCAAAAGAGACACACGGTGTCGGCGGAGGCTATAAACATTCCTCGGCGAATATCAAGTCTAGCCTTCGAGTCATCATTGGAGAACATGGAGAGAGTGGGTTCGGCTTCACCCGAGGCTTCGGATTCCTCAAGATCCTCGTCTAGACTTAACCTCAGTGGCAAGCGTCTCGAGTATGTGCAGAAAGTACTGGAAGATATTCGAACCTGGCATGAAGAGGTTTCCATGTCAATTTCAAAATCACGTTCTGCAACTCACCAAAATTGCCACGAGAACAATATTGATATAGTTCCGACACAAGTTCATAAACAGCAGACCCAACATATTATTAGCACGTTTATGGATCCTCTACAACAAATTATTTCGTGGAGTCAAGTTTCCAATGGGGACTATGCAATTTCTCGAAGGTACACTTCTAGGTCACTTTGTCCTGAGTCTAATCGTTTTGCTTTCTGGAAAATCGATCCCATTCCCTCCAGTATCTACAAATCGAAGCGGATGCAAACTACAGGGATCAAAAGAAGTCCTAAGCCAGTCCCTAGCCCGAGAACATCGAGCCTCGGTGCCACCGTGCTCCCAAGACGAAGGAATGCCATCCGAGGTCGGATTCTTCCAAAGCCAGTTTCTATTGTCTATCCAACCATGAAACAGCATTCATGTCAACCACAAATGACAGGGAATGGCCCCTGCAGTCCATACCTTGGTTGTTGCTTTGATTCCTATTGGGATGGTGAAGGCTCTTTGGCCGATACTCAAGATAATGGTAAAATCGATGACACCAATTCTTCTCCGACAGTCTTTGCAGAGACAAAACTCATCTTCCACGCACAAGACCAGTCATATAAAGATAAAGGCGCCCACGATCACAAGGACGGAGTTCCTCATAGCGGTACTGTCATTAGGCTTTCTGCAAGACATTCTAGTCTGCAAGCTAGCGAGTCCATCTTTAAAACGCCTTCTTTAAAAGAAAACGAAGAAGAGAAGGCTAGACGGCATATAGCATTTGTGCATTCGGCGTTGCAAAATTTAGTGCCATTTGAAATCTCGGATTACCTATACAGAGTTTCGCAGTTTTCGGAAACTTGTAATAATTCTGGAGGAACTTTATAACTCAAATTTTCGGACATGGTACCGCCATGTATCAGGTCTAATCCAACTTCCCAGTCTTCTAAGAGCCTTGAGCAGGATGGCGATCTTAAACCTGGGTTTGGTTTCTCATTCAAAAGAACCTCAAATGAACATTCTCCTTTGCAACCTCCGGATACAATCGATAACCCGGGTGCATGGGCTTCAGGCACCGCCATCTGATGAGGAATTTTCGCCGCACCTAAGAGTTAGCCATGACTCCGCTGCCGTCCTCATTCAGCAATGTCACGTTTCCTCTTTTAGAAGCTTACTAACTCTTATTCTCTTTAGCAACTGTTCAAAAGATAGTAACAGAAATTCTCCCTGCCAGCTCAGGCCTAGCCTTTGGCAAAGACGCCCGCGACCTCCTAATTGAATGCTGTGTCGAATTCATCACTCTCATCTCGTCTGAGGCAAATGAAATTTCCGAAAAGGAAAGCAAGAAAACTATCGCGTGTGAACATATTACCAAGGCCTTGGAACAATTGGGCTTTAGCGAGTATGTCAAGGATATTATGGATGTAGCAAGTGAGCACAAAGAACAATTGAAGGTATGTCAATCAACTCCTGCAGGGTATCCGGAATACATACTAATTAAGCAAATTAATAGGGACGAGAAAAGAAAGCAAATAAACTCGAACAATCGGGTCTTACCGCAGAACAATTATTGGCAATGCAAGAAGAAGCATTTAGAGATGCGGCGCAACGTCATGGTTGATGTTGTGCTGTTTTTTTTTTCTAGTCTCTTCGCCAAGATCAGGTTTAATTTCGAACCTCTAGGGATGGATTGGGGAGTTTTTTGGTCTGCATACATGGCTGGTTTGTGGGCGTTTTAGGGGGATGGGCAAATGGGGATGGGAGGGGATTTTTATTTCTTACTTTCATGTTTGTGAAGTGGGTGGGGGTTGAGAAGGGGCAGATTGGAAGTGATTTGCTATTGCTATTGGTAATAAGGAAGGTGGTAGTGGTAGTGACGGTGGGTTAGACGGATTGAGGCTGTTGTAGGTGGTGGCTTACTTGTTCTTATACAACATTACGCGAAAACAACGTTGATTAAACATGTGTTTTGTGCTTAAACTTTGAGTAATTGCGATGCATTGCTCGTGAAAAGATGCGATATGTGATTTGCTGAGTCCGACGAAAACTTTACACTTATCTGATGTTCAATATGAGTTTCTTTGTGAAGTGCTACCTAAGTTCACACTGTTTACTCAGTGGCATCAGTTGTACATTCAGCCGCGGGTTGTGATATATAGTTTCATCCAATTATATCATTCTTCATCATTCTCCTAATTTTTGTACATATCCAACGAATTTTTCCATGAATCTAAAGTGCAGTATGGCCATTCCCTTGTCACATACTGTTTCCGAAAACCCCTTTCTATAAATATATTTACAATAAGAATCCTCAGTTTTCAGATAAACACTTGAGACTATGGGCGTACAAGTGAAAGTTGGCTCTTGCCTAGTAATTATTGATTATTAGATGCATACCCAAGAAATGTTGACGGAGCAGAGGAATGCTTCATAAAGCTAACATTATTCTCGCCAAAGGGGTCTGAAATAAGAATGGGCAATTTTTCTCGGTGCTTTGATTTCATTTTATTGGCAAGGGAGACTGTAGCTAGCTGGGTTGCATATTATCAACCTATAGGAAGAAAGGGTGAGAGTCGCCTGAGATATAATGCAATTTTGTATTTTGGCTGTCAGTCTGAAAGTCTCTGATAGTTTCCGATGGGATTGGTTCATTGTTTTGGCCGGAGTTATTAGCAGTGGTTTGTTTGTGAAGAACATTAGATCAGATCATTTGTAACTCGGTGTGTATCAATACCTGCCCACTGACAGTTTGATGCACCACCCGGGGTGAGCGTCTGATAATATCACATCGGCTCCAAAAAACCGTCGTTGCATCACCATAATTGTCTTCGACTTACTAGTCGACCCCTCTTTCCTAGAAGCCTCAAAACATGTTTCCGTATTGAAGAGATCGAATCAATGAACAAATGAATTGCAAATTTATAAACCAATTCTCGTTATCAGATTGAAGATTGAAAATACAATATTGAAGCCAAGACTTGAACATTCAACTGCAACAGGTCAGCGCAAGGGAATGATGGACAATCTATACTTTTCGCTGCTATCCATTAGGTAGTAAATTCGACAAGAGAATTTCATTCTGATTGATAGGAATCCGCTAGCTGTCTCGAAATCAAGGAATCTGAGGGCAAACATACACTTGCCGAATTCCCAGCAACACTCGCTTGGGTCCCCGAAGACTTAGATCTGTATCGATGAAAATCTGGGGCATTCAACTTTCGAGAGTTGACAATGGTGGAATAGGTGGAGAAGGAGCAGTCTCCAGTAGAATGAGCGCTCCAATAACCACTCTCAAAAACAAGAAATCACCACTCAATAATATTCTATCCCATTCTTCCCCATCACAATCTATGTATCTCCATAGATGAAAACTCCCTTTCCACTCCTGAATCCCTCCAAGGTTCCTTTCACTGCCGACTTCAACACATCCTCCTTTGTCTCCCAATCCCACTTGAGTTCTTGAACCGGAATGTCCTTGAACATACCTAATCTCGTCATCTCCAAAATTTCATCGACAGTTTTCTTCTTCTCATCTGGGTGGCTATCGCTCCACCTACTAACCCAATAACCACTAAACTTAATATCCTTGAAGATCAAAGCTGCAGTAGGAAGCATCAATGGTTTCTTAGACATTCCTCCATATGTAACCAAATGACCTCCATTACTCAGACATTTCACCAAGGCACCTGCGGGTTGTCCACCCACACAGTTCAATCCCACGCGAATCTTCTCCCTGCCTCCATTCGTCCACTCCTTAACTTGGTCCCTGAACCTTTGATCCATCAATTCCGACTCGGTCACCACCTTCGTAGCACCCAATTCCAATAATTCTTTCTTCATCGCCTCAGTCTCCTCAGCATTCTCACGATCCCGTATGATATTGATACTCTTATATCCCCACCTCTTCCCCAACTGTATGGCTGCTCTCCCCACCCCACTATTCGCACCATTTTGTATGAACCAATCGCCCTCCACCATACTCTCGAAATCTCTCAGCATTCTGTAAGCCGTGCACGGATTAACGCTCACAGTGCCGACCTGAATGGGCTTCAGTCCCTCTTTGTTGCCAATCTTGAGAACCTGAGATTCCTCCGCGATAGCATGTGTGCGCCATGTTCCAAACCCAGTCGATTTCATAATCACCCAGTCGCCTTTCGAAAGGGTTGAGATGCCGGGACCGAGAGACATGACTTCGAAACATCCTTCATTACCACCGACGGCTGAGGGAGCTTCGGTTCCGAGAAGACTGGTGAAGGGGGGCTTGGAGGGGTAGACACCTTGGATTTGGTTTATATCGGCGGGGTTGATGGGGGTCGCGAGCGTACGGAGGAGCATCGATTTGGAAGGAAGAGAGGGGGAAATGGAGTGATTGTGAAGACTAGGAGTTTATTACTATTTAGCCATATTCATGAACACTTGAGGTAACTCCAAACGCAAACATAGACAACGAGTAAAAAGTAGATGGCGTCAAGAAAACTCACGATAAGACATCCGCCGGCTCTCCATACTTAGAATACACAAGTGCTTTAGCTTGCGTATAACCATATGGACCAGATTTGTATCTGCGAGCTATCAAGCTCCCCAAGCGATTCTGTGTACATTGTTTGCTCAACACAGCAGAAATCAAAGCTCCTCTCGAGCTTATTGCTGTGGTGGAGCTAGCTAAAGCTCTACAATGAACAGGACTCGCCATCTTCAATTATTCGTCCCAAAAGAATCTTATTTAATAAAATTGGCGTGCACCAAAACAAAAAGGATGGACTGGTTGATGAGAAAATTAATGAATGTAGAATGAAGTTGTTTCTTGTTAATATTTCCACCCACCCATTTATTTCATATCATATCATATCATATCATACTCGTATTATATCATGATATGATATGATAACCAATCTCATCCATCCATACATCCGCGGCTTTTGATAAAAAGTTTTTATGACGTTGATTGCCGAAATTTCTGAATTCATTGGTGCATCACAACACAGAACCACAGAACCACAGAACCACAGAGCCCCAGGGCCACAGGGCCACAAAGCTTGTAAATACAGGGATTTCCCTCCCACCATGACCCTGAAATTCAACCCTCTTCAGCCTCACATAGCCTCACATAATGTCACATAATGTCCTATAATGTCATATAATGTCACATTTATAGGGTAACTACAGTGTCTCAGTGTGACCAGATAGCACGTGGCCGCGGGTACTAGCTTGATGCTAATAAGTAGCTCCAGACACGAATTCAAATGATGATAAGATGATAGTTACCCTGAATTAGATTTAGATTTTAAATTAATTAATTAAAAAAAAACCCTTGATATTTTTCCATTTTTCTCAAACACCATCATGCAAAATGGGGAAAAGCAGGTTCGAGGTAGGGATTTGGAGTTTCCAATGATAATGCATATCGATCTGAAACATCAATGGATGAAGGAATGGATAGTCAACCATACATCACATACAATCTATAGATCTCTACAGATATCTATAGATACGGAAAGGCGTCATTCAGGTAAATGAGATCAATCATTAATGGGAAAAGGGGAGACTAGGAGAAGCAGAGATACATACACACACACACACAGAGAGAGAGGGAGAGGGGGGGGGGAAAGAAAGAAAGAAAGAGAGAAAGAAGCCTTCACTTCATAGTTCTATTACAGAAAATCAATATCTTATTCGAGTAAAAAAGGGCCCTCCGACCATGCAAATCCCCTACTGTATTTCGTTCAGAAAAGGCTAATAAATATGAGTATTTTGGTACCCCAAGAATAAACTATCATGGCACATGAAGCCAACATTAAAATGTTGTTTTGTTTGATACTGTAGTCAGCGTAAAACAAGACCCCGATAAAAACCACCGCCCAGAGATATCATCGATAAAAAGAAGGGCGCCATGCCAAACAAATGAAAAGATAAAATAGCATTTTTGTCCCCCTCTCAAGCTTGATTCATAGTACATGGGACGCCTGCTTCCCTTTCGTGCCCTCCCCTCCGCGTCTCTCGGTCCGTATCGTTGGAGATATGAGTATGGATCTCATCCGAGCATTCTGCCAGTGCTGTAGCGAGTTTTGGGTCGTAACAGATAGCAATACCCAAAAGCACCATTGGCGTTCTCACAACCGTCTCGCATGAACACCTCACTACGAGATATTCCTGAACATGTCATCACCCCCAAAACTACCACGATCATCATGCGCAAGCTTAGCCTTCAATTGATCGAGTTCCGGTAATTTTGGCGGCGGCGGGCTAGGCTTCGTGTATGCTGGCTTGATGTTCTCTTTTTGAATCTCTGGACTCTGCTGTAGAGTAGGAGTATACACTACAGGCTTCTTCTCATAAACCACGCTGTTCCTCTTACTGCTGCTCCCAAAACTCCTAAACCAGCTTCCACTCTTCCGCTTCACGAAGCTAGGTCTGCTGCTTGCAAGACTATTTGGACTCTCCGGTCTCCCCATCTTTGTTAAGTCCTCATGCGATTTCGCATTGCCACTTGTGTAATTGGTGTTGAGTGATTTTCGAGACAGGAATTTGCGGATACTACTTTCTTTTTCGGGTCGACTAGGACTATTCGGGACAGCAGCGTCCGAAGGGGCTCTCACGCGAACTGGAAGGGCATGATTGCGAGGAGATGGGGAGGTAGGTGGGAAATAACCATTGGATTTCGTCGTGGTGAGGTGAGAAAAGTCGGATTGGTTATTTGCCGATGCTGACGCTGGAGGTGTACTAGTAAATGTGCTTCGAACAGGATCGGCAGTTTGAGGAGTGGCTGCAGGTTTCGATGCCGCAGATGCAGGTGCAGGTGCAGGTGTGGGTGCAATAGTCGGTTTGGGTGCCTCTTCTTCTATTGGAGAATCTGGAAGAGGCGGCGGGATATCAGTCCCGTCTGTCAAATTGAAGTCAAAGGATTTGAGAGCAGGAAGTTCAAATCGCCCATTGGGCTTGCCATTGATAGGCATATTCGCAAAGTATTTCTTGAACGTTCGATTTTGGTAGAGATCTCGCAATTCGCAGAATGGCAGATTGAATGAGAATCAGACAAAATATTTGAGCTCGCAACAGAATTTCCAAATGTTGAATGCTTGAGATTTATCCGTCGTACTTAGGTAGAGATTGTATTCAATAGAGTGAGAGATGTGGATGAATGGTAACTGCAAAAGAAGTAACGAGAGACTGCAAATCGAATTGGCTCGAGCTTTGCTTGCGATTTCCTATCTAGGAACTCTTCTCTGATCCCAGGAAACGAATTGATGTGATATCAAGGTGGCGGGTGAAATGAAGTGAATATGGAGATGCGATGAACCGGCAATTTGTGAGACTGCAGAAAGATCCAGTTTTCAGTTGATTAAGAATAGATAGCTAGTTCAACGGTGTACTCCGCACAAAACGGTGTATGAAACTCAAATGATCATATTATGACATTAAAGTGATTGGCATTAACATTGAAATTATGTGTGGATGTATGTATGTAGATGTAAAGAGGATAGGAAGAGAGGTATAAGTACAGGATACAATAGATACACAGTTCATGAGTATCGAGAAGAGATGAAGAGATTGTGTGTATGTATGTGTATTATCTCGAATTATGTATCGATAGCAAGAACAACGAGGACTGAGACTTTAAGTCATCTAATATAACTAACTATAGAAACAACAAGACGAAGCAAAAACAGGTGTATAAAATCAATTGGAGTAAAGAATGAAGATTTTCGTATCGTATTATATTGCTCGTCCGTTCGCTTTCTCGTTTGTTTGTTTGTTTATATATGCATGTACTAGGAGGGACTGTACCGTACCTCCGTACCAACTAGGGAATATACCGGTCTGTCAATACCGGTCTGTCAAATTATTCTGCTTGGATGCTTTTTTCGACTCCGTACACTTCGTATGTTGCTGGTATTGGTGGTACCAAATGCTGCCCCATTTTAAAGTGTTGGAGGAGAACCAATGAAGCTATCAAAAGAAATAGTCATCCGATCTTGATTGAAGTTTTAGATTAAAATAAAATAGAGTTAACTATACATGAACGCAGAAGTTGTGTGATTTGTGGATTTAATGCACTCATTTCTGTTGAATGCAGGGTGGCAGCAGTAGTAGCTAAGCTAATAAGTTATCGAGTAAATAGTAAGTCTGTATATATTTATATATATATACACCTCAATTCGAATCAAACTACATTCATTCTATACATCTCGTTCCTCTCATGACATCAAGGTTAGGTAGGTACTTCGTTCAAGACTTACACTCGCAGTTGTAGTTTCAAGTAGCGGAAGCAATTATACCAGCTACATCCCTTTGGTCGAAATGTAAGTATAGATTCTATCCCACCATGTCGTTTCTTCCGACTCTCAGAATGAGGTGTATGTATACTATGTTCCCGACGACATCTTGCTACAAATTGGTATCACAATGGCGTTTCATGCAGTGCAGACTAATGCGCATTCAAATATATTGCATCGAAGGCTTCACGACATTTCTGAATAACCCCTTCACTGTCCAATCAAAAATCGTCAAATTCGGTAGTTTCCGAGAGCTAATGTCGCCGCAAAGAATACAGTCATCACCCTTTTTCCTTTCTCATTTCTCCGTTCGCAAAAATACAGAATCCCTAGTCCTCGAAATAATGAGAAAATGAAGGCACTACGATGTATTGGGCTTTTAGATAATAATGTATCACGTGTCAATACTTTAGCTGCTTCCTATCATAGCACATTGTTCTCCGGATGACTCATGTTTAGCTACCCCCCTATTATATAGTCTGCTCGATAACTGATGCATTTCACAGTATACCTATTTGTAAAGTCGCGCGATCGGTTCTTCAGTTCTCCAACAGTTTTCAATTTAGTTAAAGATGTCTACGCTAAGCCCATCCACTACCCACCAGGAATCCGTTTCCACGTACCTCCTTTATAACCGATGGGCCGCAACTTACGACACAGACCAAAACCCTCTACAAATTCTTGACTCTGCCCTCATTCCTTCACTATTGGAGACGTTGTTTTTAATCCCATCAGAAGCTCAAGATAACATCACCATCACCGAGTTAGGATGTGGCACTGGCCGGAATACTATCCGGTTCTTTGCACCACCTTTCTCCAAAAAGATCTCTAAAATCCACGCTCTTGATCTCTCGCCCGCAATGCTTGAGATTGCCCGGTCCTGTTGCAGCCTTTGCGTTTCGGAAAACGCTAGCCATGTCCCCATCATCCAATTCGACGAGTTCAATGCCCTTAATGTTCAATCTAATCCCGAAGTTTCGAAATTGGTCCAAGGACAAGCGAACATGGTGATTAGTACTCTCGTCCTTGAACATCTTCCCCTTGGTGCGTTTTTCTCGGCTGTGACCTTCCTGCTGAAACCAGATTCGGATGTGAACAGCGGAAAAGTATTGATCACCAATATGCACGCTGAGATGGGTAGGTTGTCTCAGGCCGGGTTTAAAGACGAAATTGAAGGAAAGAAGACGAAAGTTAGAGGCGAAAGTTATATCTATGAGGTTGAAGAAGTGGTAGAGGAGGGCAAGAAATGGGGATTTCATGTCGTGGGGGAGGTGTCGGAACGGACAGTGGAAGAAAACGATATCGAGGACGGCAGTGGATTAGAACTAGGAATTAGGGGGGCAAAATGGGTAGGAAAGAAGATGTGGTTCGGAATGGTGATGCAAAGGAAACACAAACAAAACGATTTAACACCGAAAATCAAAGCGTTACTCACATAGCAAATGGTCCAGACTATCGAGAAGCCTAATTTTTTGTCTCATTGAATGGAGTCTTTATTCTGCTTCGTAGATTGCCGAGCTGTACGTTGTCCATGAACGAATCTTATCGAGGAAGACATCTTTTCATACTCGAGGTCTTCAAGATGTTTCTGCGGCGAGGCACAGGAAGCTGTTGTACAAACGCCTTGCGTCTGAATTCAAATTACATTTGTATACTGAAAATCGCCATCTATTTTTTACAGTGAAGATTGTTGCGTTAACAAGCAAATGATAGCCAAGAGGATAAAAAATATCAAGATTCATGCGATCAAACATGATCTCAAACCATCACCACAAGTTTGTGTGGTCTTTTCCCGTAGAGATCTCAGATGAGTGACGAGTAAGTGTCGGGCATAAATTAATCACCGTACCATACCTGCTGTTTGGGTCGACTTCTCGTCTCCAAACCTCAACTTCTGCCATTTATCCATATCTTCTTCACACACTTGCCTTTGAAACTCCCTGGTTTGTACCCGCCGCTGCCTTTTCTTCTCGACGCGCCTTTTCCGGAGCGTTTCCGCCTCCTCGGAAGTGGAGGCCTGACTTATCATCTCTGATAACCCTACTATATCTGCGTTCGATTGTTTTAAACTTCGTTCCTGCCACTCGTGGAAGTCCTTGTTCCAACCCTCATCTACTTGAGAATCCCACAACATCTCTATCATGGAGGCAACTTGTAAAGTGCGGCCATCGTCTGAGTGCTGGCCCATGATTTGAATGCCAACAGTCGAAGGCACGCTCTGTTTGGAAAATTTGAATGGCAATTTGCATGGTATGCTGATGGAGGGTATACCAGCAAGACTAGCAGGCACTGTGAATACATCATTCATATAGGCATCAACCGGTGTTTGACGCTCAGTAATATCTTGAACAGTTGGTGAAAGAGTGGGAGCTGTGGGACAGAGGATAATGTCCACTTCAGCGGGGCCCAGTTTATCTTCGAGTGCAATTCCTTCTTCCATATCACTAAGATCAAATTGTTCTTCTGGGTGTAGAAAATTGGGCATGGAGAAGACACGGTCAAAATCTCTCTGAACCAACCGTCGAACCTTTTGTGCCTGAATAAAGTAATTATCAATAGCATCAGAGCTCAGTGAATATGACCCAAGAAGAATTCGCCTCTTCACTTCGTCTCCAAAGCCAGCGCCCCTGGTCTCGGAATAGAGGACATCTCCGGCCCCATCACTCGATTGGTCACGAGTTCCGTACCTAACTCCATCATATTTTGAAAGATTAGAGGACGCTTCGGCTGCGGCAAGTACGTAATATGCTGAAAGGGCATGTTTTGTGTTAGGAAGTGATATGGGAAGAATTGTGCATCCTTCACGCTGAAGAAGTTCCAATATCCGTTGCCACGCCCATGAAACTTCCAAGTCCAATTCTGAGATATTATATTCGATTGGAACACCAATCTTTAGCTCTCGAAGGTAAAATGGATCATGCGTAGCAGAGATCTTTGTTTTTCCGAAAAAACTCATCCGCTGTTCTTTGATACGGGCTCGACTGGAGGGCTTGATACTCGTAGGATCCCGAGGATCATGACTGCTCAATCTCGAAAATATTTCATGTATTCTACTTGCACCACGTGCTATTAAGCCGACAGTATCGAGCGAATTCGCGTAAGGCACCACACCAAAGCGAGATACGATGCCATACGAAGGTTTAAACCCTGCAGTGCCAGTGTATGCAGCTGGCAATCTAACTGACCCACCAGTGTCTGTGCCGAGTGCCATGTTAGTTGTGCTTGTTGCCACAGCCATTGCGCTTCCACCAGAGCTTCCTCCAACCGATCTCGACCGGAAAGGCTTGTGGTGACGGACAGCACCGAAGTGTGAGTTTAATGAATGCGAACCCATTCCAAATTCATCCATATTCGTCTTCCCCGCGACATTTCCAGTGCCAACTTTGACATCTTCTACCACGGAAGCATCAAAAGGACTCTGATATGTCTCGAGAATACGAGATGCGCATGTCGTTGTTTCTGAAATGGTTGCTATGTTGTCTTTTACGGCAACAGCTCGCGATACCTTAGGGAGGAGTTTTTTGGGGCCATTCTCTTGTACTGTTAGCACTCATCGACATAATCCAAGAAGCAGTTCCAATACCTTGTTTGAGAAGGGGCAATTTTGACTTGTCATCAGCCGGGGGAATCAATCTTGGTTCTGATATGAATGCATTCGTATCTTGATGTGGATGAACTCTTGCTTCCTTAGCCTGCAAATGAACTTTGAAAAGTTCTGAATTAAAAGCCTTTCGCCATCTGACAGTACGTGCCATTACATACAATATGGCGAGTCATATATCCGGGGAGTATGAACACACAAGACATATAAACTTCAAATCACATTTCGATCAGAATTAACGGGTTGTGACTTTTTGGAGCTCTTATCGGATAAAAAGTGAATAGTTTTCCCGATCTCCGACCTTCCGACCTTCCGACCTCATGGACCCCTTACTTACCCTACCACTTGGTAGCTCTCAAGGTTCTTGAAGAGAAGCTCTCCGCCACATGATTATACAAGACAAGACAATCATTCATTCTCTGAGACCCATGCAAAGGTAGGTGTAGGTTGGTTTGGTCTCACTACATATTGGATATTATTAGTTTAGCTTATCAGACTATCTATTTATCTATCTCCGTCTCGGTCTCCATAATTATATCTATGTCTACATCTCTCAGCTGTCCATCATTCTTCTCGATTTATCACTTTTCTTATATGTCCTGGGTACATATCGTTCATTATCTGTCTGATAGTCCTATTGCCCAACTATCACTCTAAGTGTTCGTAGTTTGGCACGAAGCTCACTTCACACATCTCATTGAGCAACGGTCGCTCATCATTTAGCATTCACTTCAACATTCAGAGTCCAAAATCCTGAATGATAGTGCTCACTGCCTGAGACTTACTTTGACCCCCCCCCCCCCCCCCATTTGCCATTACTCATAATATTAAGGACATCATGAAGATAGAAAAACATCTATTGACCTTAACCGGTCTTCTCACATCTCTAGCAGCAGGTGCCCAGCCTTCTGCGCCAGCTGCTATTGCGGCACCTATGAGACCATTACAATGGGGCCAACTCAATTTCTTACAAACCACCGATACTCATGGGTGGCATGCAGGTCATCTACAAGAGTAGGTGAAATGACAAATCGGTGGAATTGAACGAAGGCTGACTGAAATCTCAGGGCCCAGTACTCTGCGGACTGGGGTGACTACATATCATTCGCAGAGCAGATGAAGAAGCAAGCAGATGATAAAGGCGTTGATCTTTTACTTGTCGATACAGGAGATAGAATTGAGGGAAATGGATTATACGATGCATCAGATCCCAAAGGGCAATATACATACGACATTTTCAGGGAACAACATATCGACATCATCTGTACTGGAAACCATGAGTTATACAAGGCAGATGCCGCCGCTCGAGAATACGATCAAACTGTGCCAAATTTCAACGGCAATTATCTTGCTTCAAATCTCGACTACATAAATCCAAAGACCGGTGAACAAATTCCGATGGCAAAACGCTATCGTAAGTTTACAACGAAGAATCAGGGGATCACAGTGGTCGCGTTTGGATTTCTCTTCGATTTCAATAGAAACGCCAACAATACTGTTGTGCAAGAAGTCGAAAAAACTATTAAAGAAGAATGGTTCCAACAAGCAATTCGAGAAGATGCTGATTTGTTTGTGGTTATTGGACATGTAACTCTGGATGGGCCGGAATACAAGGCCATTTACAAGGCTTTGAGAGATCAAAATTGGGATACTCCCATCCAGTTTTTTGGTGGCCATAGCCATATTCGAAGCTATGCCAAATACGATTCTAAGGCGTACGGAATACAGAGCGGTCGATATATGGAGACTGTTGGCTGGATGTCCATTGAAGGTATCAAGAAGAACGAAAAGGAAAAGATGTTCCAAGAAGAACACACTTCTAGGACACAAGCCACTGAGGTTGCCGAACTTACAAGCATGTCTTTTCAACGAAGGTATATTGACAATAACCTTTTTGGCTATCATTTTCATACTGGTTTAAACGATACAACATTTCCCACAGAGCATGGCAGGAATGTCTCGAATTATATCGCTAAAGCTCGAAAGGCTCTAAATCTCGACCACAATTTCGGCTGCGCCCCAAAAGATCTCTGGATGAGCAGAGCAAAATATCCTAGTAAAGACAGCCTTTTCTCGTGGCTTGGAGACGAAGTAATGCCTGATGTTGTATCCCGTCTTGATCGAAAGAGTGTTCCAACAATAGCTATCACCAACACAGGTGCCATGAGATTTGATATTTTCAAAGGTGCCTTTACAAGAGATACAACTTTTATCATCTCTCCGTTTGTTAGCAAATTTCTGTATATCAAAGACGTGCCAATAGCTGCTGCCGAACAAGTTCTCCCACTCCTTAACAGCGGCGGCAACATCTTCTCATCTTCGAATTTAGATACTAATAATCTCGCACCACCTGAACACCTCTCCTATAAAACGGATATCCTCGCTCCCTCGATACCCATCTCCAATCTCCCACCGCCATCTAACGCTCAATCTCCTCTCTTCTCATCCTCCTCAACCCAAGAACCCGACCTCATTCCTGGCTACACCACCAAGGATGACAACGGCTCCGATGGCGATGACACAATTCATTCCCCTATCACTTTCCATCGTGTACCTAATTGTATCGAATCCCGCATTAATATCCCTTCCACCAGCTCCAATCTCGAAACTGTAGATTTAGTCTTCATAGACTTCATAAAACCTTGGGTCCTGGTTGCATTGCGCTTTTCCGGGGCGGATTATACGGACGAAGATGTCAATAGTTATAGAAATGAGACTTTGACGGAGTTGATGGCCGGGTGGATCAAGGAGAATTGGGGCCAGGATTGTTAAACTGTGTGCCTCTCTTTTGGGAATTTTTGAGGAGTTAAATTGCATGACATAGGATTGTTGTTTTCTGGTCGGATGCATGGTGGATGGCGTTCTTATTGCATATCTCTGTATTACAATGGGATTTGAATGGAAGTGGGATGAAGCCTCTAGAGTGAGATGATGTCGTCATCAAGCTGTACATAGGTGCAGAGCTTATGAAATATTCAACTTCGATTCAACAATGAGAGGCTCTTTAATCTTGGATAATCTCCCTCCGCTGAACTCATCCGATTGATTGAATCATGGTGAGGGTTCTTGGCCATTCTGGCATTGAATCTTTTCAAATCAGATCGAAATAATGGTATGACATAGCTAATTAACAAATAATACAGCTGAGTGATATCAAGGGAGTCCGTAAACAGCCATGGTTTACAAAAGGATCCTACAAACCCTCAAATTATAACTCTATTGACACTTGAATGATTCGTATATACTTCTAACTTGACAGATCATATGTACAAATCTATATCCTTCAATATAATTACATATCTCAATCCTTCAATCTGCCCATCCCTACTCCATCAAACAAGGGTAACAAAAACGTGTCTAATCTTTTCTCGGTAACCATCAAATCATTAAATTCTTTCAGTGCATTTAAGTCACCTTCTTTCCAGGTCTTTTCTCCGTTTTTGAGGGCCCATGGGTTTGCGGCACTGGAATCGGCGACGACTATGGTTTGAGTTAGTGGGTGAGCAAGTGGGACAGGGAAGAGGAATCGAGAGCGAAACCAGGGGCTGGACAGGTTAGAATCATTGAAAACGGTGCTCACGTGCGCGACGCAGAATGTTGTCTGCGAGGATTAGACCGCTGGGTTTGAGAAGACGAGTTTGCGTAGAAGATGGGGAAGAAAGAGAGAGGATGAGATCGAGATAAGCGGGGTATGAAGTTTTGTCGGCGTCGATAAAGATTAGATCGTAAGGTTCTTGAAGGTTGGCGATCAAGCTTTTGATTCTGTGATGAGTTTAGAGAAAATGTCTACATACGTGTTGAAGGTCGATTGGAGGAAAGAGAGAAACCGGACATACGATTCACGAGCATCGCCAACCAAAACCTCAACATTACTGAGGTTATTTTTGGAGAATGTCTCGCGGGCAATTTCCGCGTATTCGGGGGAAAATTCAAGGCCCGTTACGTGACCTTCAGGACCGACGGCCTCAGACCACTAAATTGAGTCTTAACATGAGGTTCCAATCTTGTCAGAATAGAAGAAAGGAAGGACTTCAAATAATGAGGAGACTTACTCCCATAGTAGAAAATCCAATGTAGGTTCCGATCTCTAGAACTAAGTTTGCAAAGTCAACATGTGAATACTTCCATAAACGCGGTAGATATAACTCAGACTAGGTAGCTGAGGTGAAGGTTCCCGCTATTGTATTGAGCTCCCACATGGTAACATGAAATCGAATACTAGCGGTGAAACACATCTTCAAATCGAGGGCGAATATCTTGTTCTCATACAATCCCACGAAGACCCAAGACGCCATACTCCAGCTTTCAACAATATACAGAGTAACATACTTCTTTTGGCACCCATAGCCCTGGCCATAAAAATTTGAAACTGTGCCTGGAAAGGCGAGATCATAAAATTGGCCTTTGGTTGAGTTGATCCCCAAGCATGATGGTCTAATATATATTGAGGAAGCTTGGTTGAATGTTCAAGAGAATATTGAGTAACCGCTTGAGAAACTTCGGGGTTTGGATAGAGAGCAGTATCGTTTTCCTTCATCTTGTTGTGTTCTTTGGGTGTGAGGATAACAGTTAAGTGGTGACTTATTCTCGGCTTGCTGTCGGCTTGCTTTCGAAATATTCAAAGATGTAACACACGAGAGAGAAAGATCGATGTTGTACTCGAGTGACCTTATGTTCTATAAAGATCTGATAAGATTACGTGTAACCTATTCGGGGTCTAGGATACAAGAATCGGCATGAGATCCAGATCAGTCCGATTAGATACACGTGATAATCTTCCCTGAGAGCCAGGGAGCCAGGCTCGGCAGGGAGCTTAGGTTGATTGTCTGGCCGGTTTCCTGGCAGCCGGGCTGTGTTTCCCAAAAGAGGAGAAAGAATGCTTGGTCAGACCTGAGAAGGAAGCAAGTTTCGGTATACTCTAAAGCACTTCTAACTTTGAGAATCAAGTCTAGAGATAAATAGAAGGAGAGAGACTTATTCAACACTGGCATATTGTAATCCGAGCTCAAGCGATGCATTGAGTATCTTGACTTTAGATTATAACACCAGGGTAGTTCGCCAATGGTAAGAAAGGGGTAAATCCAAAGGGAGAGGCTTCTTGTGCAGGATTAGCTTCGAATTGACTAATTTTCAACAATCAAATACCACCCTTGCGCCAACCAGGTCAACTAAATCAAAGCTGACCTTCTTTGACCTACCTAGATAACAAATAGAATACTTGATTGCTGAATTTTGCGGAGTCGGCAGTGCCGTCAGGAGAAAATCGATCTATCGAATTCGGCGTGGAATCTCATCGGTTAGTACTAACCTACAAACAGACACTCACTTGCTTGTGCATTGGCCAACAAATGCAATCGCTAACAACAATGCCTCACGGCCACCTCCTTCTCATTCCCAACCCAACACAATCCAACCACACTTGAAAGTCCTCGACAACATTAAAACATCCATATTCTTAAGTTCTCAAATAATCACATAGTTATCTTTATTTTCCCGTAAAACCCCTTACAGTATTATACTTTCCCTTTAATCTGATCTACGACAATGACGACAAGGTACGTATCCATTCTATCACATGTAACTCCTCATTTATACTCACCGTTCCGATAGATTTCGAGTTGAGTGTACGTGTCCATAGCATATTCTCAACCAACCCAACGATTCTAATTCTCTTCAGATGCACTCAAAACCCACCGACGAGATCAATTCATAGGTACCAACTTTCAATTTGTTTCTACTCTTTACACTTGGCATACTGCTGTGTAATTGAATAGCACCCAGTGGTATTGCGCGTGATCTTGGAAGTCACGATGTCTAATTTGAGCAAGCGCTCTTAAACTGTCCTTAACATTGGTTACTAACTCTCAATTAAAGAATGGATCAAAGGTTTATTAGCTGTACCGTTTGTTCTACATTCACAGCCAACCGGTGTATTCGAATCTCGAAATGGAACCATTGGTGAAATGGCCGAGATTGCCCACCGCCGTTACGCGGAAATCATGCAAGATGTTGAAGATATGATTGATGATCACAGTGAGTATGATTCTTTGTAACGTAACCGGAGATACTAAAGTAATCAAGTCGCCCATCAAAAGGTTGGCTTAGGAGGTCAATCCAAGTTAAAACTCCTGGTTCCCAGTATTGGTACATTTTTCACTCGACTACCACTGGCGGACGCTTTTAGATATCAGGATAGAAAACGCTTTATTTCGTCGAGACGATTTGTTCCGCCTTCTTTCAACGATATCAGGCTTATTTTGAACACTGCGCAGCTCATGGGTGTCACTTCTGCGGGGTCGGTGGATTTAGCCACTTTTGATGGTGATGTTACATTGTAAGTCATGCTCGCCATACGAACTTCTGGGTTTTTTGACTAAACCATTAAAGGTATGATGACGGTAAAAGTCTTGAGCCTACCAATCCTGTTATTGAGCGAATAATCAGTGAGTCGTGCTACTCCACCTTGGATAATGAAATGCTTATAGCTATAGATCTTATGAGCCACGATACCAAGATTGGAATTGTAACTGCAGCTGGATATACTGAGGCTGAAAGGTACTATGGTAGACTTCATGGGCTGTTGGAAGCCATTAAAGCTTCCACCATTCTTACACCAGAGCAAAAGCAGAATCTTATCGTAATGGGTAAATTACCTTCCTAACACTCTCGTTCTCTTTTATTTCTAACGCTCAGTCAGGCGGCGAATCCAACTTCCTCTTCACCTATGACGCCAGCTCTCCATACCTTTTAACCCATCACAACCGTCGCTCATGGATTCTACCCAGTATGTCCACTTGGACTCAACCAAGTATAACTGCTCTCCTCGACCTTGCCGAGTTCTCCCTGCGCGAGTGTGTTACCAATCTTGATTTGCCTGCTACTATTCTTCGGAAAGAACGAGCTGTGGGTATTGTTCCTCGGGAACCGGGCTATAAATTTGCACGGGAGTCACTCGAAGAAACTGTATTAGTTGTGCAAAAGAAGCTCGAGATGTCGGAAGTCGGCCGTTCTTTGCCTTTCTGTGCTTTCAATGGAGGAAATGACGTTTTTGTGGATATTGGCGATAAGAGCTGGGGAGTGTTGGTCTGTCAGAAATTCTTTGGAGGAAATGTCGAGGATGAAAGTCAATGGATCAAAAAGGACAAGACATTACATGTTGGAGATCAATTCTTGAGTGCCGGAAGCAATGATTTCAAGGCGAGAGTTGTGGGTACTACGGCTTGGATTGCGAGTCCCAGGGAGACGGTGGAATTGCTGGACGAACTAGGAGGACTGATCCAGAAGAATTAGACTTGTGGAGCGGGGGATTTCTGATTGAATAACATGAGATTTATGAGATTTTGTTTGCATGAGCGGTAGTATTTTTGTCGTAAGAGCCGGACTCTAGGTAGTAGCGAATTCTAATTTTCGGGAAATCAATACTTATTACCACATTCAGTATCTCCGCATGCCCAAATTCGGCATCAATACGTGACCTTTTATGTCTGAGACGACGGTTGGGGAATTATCAATTATCAATCTGAATGTTCTCTGGGTACCTAGTGGGTGAGGAGGCTGGTTGAAGCAGAGGAAGGCTAGGCTGACGCTAATGGCCTAACATCAAGGAAGAATAACTATTCTAGAGAGATCTAATGATGAGCACATGATCGACTATCAGTGCGAAGAGCTTTAGGTTATCTACTACAAGCAACACCATATAAGCTATAGTACGATCGCTTACCACTACCAGTTCAGTCAAACTTTATTGTCCGAAGACATTTGGCAGGTTTTCCCCGCAACATTTCATCAACACACTTGTCTGCCAACTTCATCTGCAAACATCAAATTTCGTAAGCATGATTTCTTTCTGGAAGAACTTATTCCATCGCAAGAAGGTTTTGAGCTCATTAGAAGCACCTCCGCCATACAATCACACAAGTCCTAAATTCCCCGCAGCCGCCGAATCCTCCGACCAATGGTTTATACCCCATCATGATGTGAAGACTCAATCCTCCGTGGCCACCCAAACCAATCCAAGGACTCCATCCTCTCCGTCTTCGCGTATTCACATGCTCACAACAAATACCCGCCCAGACATTACCTCGGAAAGTATTCCACAGTGGAAATGGAACCATGCCGAATGTCGACTATGGATTTTCAAAATGTTAACCGATAAATGTGGTAGATCAGAGCAGCATTCTTACGACCTGGCTATGATGTGGGAAGGCTTTGGCCCGGCATTGTTCATGACTGAACACAGTACATGGCAGAAGTGGTTGGGCTCGAATGTTGGAATATCAATTCATAGTGTTATCATAGAAAACTTGCGGTCAGAGGGAGCGGTACCCGGCAATCTAGCAATTCAGACCAGTGAGCTGGAATGTACTGAAATTTCTTGAAATTCGAGTCGTTTTGGGAAATTTGAAATGAGTTTGGAGCGGAAAGCTTGAGAATGCATAAATGAGATGTTTTAATCCTGTCATGGGACATATCGCTATGGTTGGAGAAAAGCTGAGCGCTGAGTCTGCGGTTTCACGGATCTATATCGTCTCATTCGTACTCTTTCTATCTCAATCATACGCGGAAACGCCGGACCCGGTGTGAGGAGAGGGAGGGAAGGGGCAAGTGGGCAGTGATGACAGAGAAAGTGAACGACAAAAACAGCGTGAGGCGGAAGGAGCTCACAGAGGATAAGAATCAATGGGAGTTAGCGGAGAAGTCGATAATGTCGAGAGTAACGAATGTTAGCGTCACAGTTGGAATGATGCGAGTTTTAGAATTGCGCCAGTGATAGTTCAACATTAATCATTTTCTTCTCTAGTATCAGATCCCTCTTACCACTCATTGGACGGGGTGTCATATCGAAACTAGACGTCTACAAACTGATAGTTCTTCTAAAGCAATAGCTTGATACCTCGAGAAGATCTCAACATCCAACATTTCAATGGCCACTTTTATTCAGTGGAGCTATTCAGAATTTGAAAGTATCCAAATTTTGAAATCCCAGTGATATTTTTGTTTTTCCAAATGCATAAGATGCGCACGTGTTTTTCCTGGAATGTGATACCGTCTGACAGCTAAATATCTTTAAAGGTAGTAGTCGTTTAGTGGAAAATGCCATGTGCGTCCCCGGCTCTGGCGTCATGGCCATTCGTGCCTACTCTCGTTAACACCACTAACTCTGAGACTTGAGCCTTTTTACACGCCCCTTCATCTTCTCCAACATATCTCACTCGAGAGATAGCCAGATGTTTCAATATCACATCGATAGCTGAGCCTATCGAATTTATCAATAATGCAGCAATTGATCATGCAGTCTGAAAACGCATTCGAAGTCACGTCGCCTTGTGAAGGAGTTCTGGAAAGAATCTTGTCCGACCGTCGAAAATGAAATCAACTGGAATGAAACGGGTATTCACTTCATCATTTGCAAATCTAAGAAGTGCTCAAAATGACTCGAGTCGTCTACAACAAAGATATTCGGAGGAGAATTCCGTTTAGGAGATCGAACGACATATTGAGGATAACATATCTTGTCTTTCATCTCCAGACCATGCTTTCAGAGATAAGAAACTCATTCTGAGAAGTATAGCGAAATCGTTCTATGGATACTTTCTTTGGTAGGAATTCTTGCTAATCTGAGTTTGTTACGAAGCTTTTTTATTCACAAGCAGCATAGGATACCCCGCGGAATTGGGCAAAGCTTTAATTAAAATTCAGATATCTACTTCGATATTCGTCCAATTCATGCTTTTGGACGAAGCATGTACGCTGCACCTACTTATCCTTAGACATCAAAACAATATCACTAATTCAACACTCACAGGCTTACACTCTGGAGTAGCTGTATCAGTCACGGCTTTCAATATTCTCGTCCTAAATCAAGAAGATCCAAAGATAGCTATGCATCATCTTTCGCTTGCATTTCGCTTGATTAATGAGAAACTATCTGGAAACGAGGCCGTAGCCGATACTACTATCGCGGTTGTGTTGACTATGTCACATTATTACAGATTACAGGGTCAATTCAGCCAAAGCCTTCCCTGTACATCTTCAAGGACTCGAAAGGATGGTCAAGATGAGAGGTGTCATCTCAAATCTTAAAGAGGAACAATGAACTCTTGCTCAAAAGATATTTAGATTATTAATAAAGAGCTCTGTGCATAATTAGTGTTGATATATGAGATAGAGCTGATCTCGAATATTCTCTCCACTCGGGCACCTGCACACGACACGCCGTTCAGGACATGGAATCCAATGACACATTCTGTATGAATGACAATAGGAATCAAGATTTCTACAAAAACAAGGCAATCTCCTATGCAGTGGTTTCATTACCACTGAGCACCGATATCCTTGTTCTTCTAGTAGATACTGTTCAATTCGCTTGGTTTCTCAATGAGGTCGTTGTCAGAAGAGCCCCTCCTTTAAACAGTCATAAGCTTCACAATACGCTTCTCTTTCTTGGAGATCGTCTCCTCTCCATGTGTCCTCTAGGAGGTTTTCGTCCTAAGAATTCTCTGGAGAATACAAATCACTTAGGCCTAGCGTCATTTGTCTCAAAGTTTATGCGTGGACTTGATGGGAAAGTCCCAATCAATCTATTGTTGACTAGTTTGCTCAGATCTTCTACACAAGAAATTTTCAATCTTCGAAAGTCTTGATGACACTCGGCTATGTTCGGATATAAGCCAAGCCATGCAAGTTCTCAATCTTCAAGGTCATACTAATTCACAAGAAAAGCTGGAAAGCTTTCCTTGGGTCTATGCCTTGCACGATAAGGAAACCAAAGCTTTACTGCAATCGATTAAAGGGTCTTATTCAGAAAATTTGACCACTTCGAGACAAGAATCCAACTCTCATAATGATTCGGGATATAACTCTTAAGAATTTAGTAAGAATAGAGGTGGTTGAGCGAATGTATGTGGAGAGAAAATTGATCTGCTTGATACATACGTTCAAAGGTGCCACTGATAAAATAAGGAAGCTACATGAGTACTTAGAAACTAAGCAGAACTAACAATGAGTAGCTTCAGAAGCTTCATCTTTCGAATATCTTCTCTACGTATCCAGGCTCAATCGTCTCTGATTCCCCTGCAATAGCATCCCAAACAATCTTCTACGATTTCTTGCCATCCATGTCGGTTACCCAACTTGGTATTACATTCTTTGGTCAATGTGTCAGCATAGTAACAGAGTGTGGCTATGATTCAAACTTACTCGGCGATGGTACAAGGTTTCAGGAGACACCCATGAGAATCTTCGCCCGCAGCAGCACCGTACAATAATGTGCGACTACCATCCTCGGCGGTTCGCCCATATCGCTTCTTTTGTTTGGCTATTCGTTCACGAAGTCCCAAGGGGACGCTACGGCTCAGATCGTCTTACAAAGACCAGGGCACATTAGGTTTATGACAACTCCAGTTCGTTGAAGGGGAAGAAGACCGGTGAGATGGCGAATCGCCATTATCTTAAGGAACTTAGACAGCGGATACCTAGTTGAATTTTGTTAGTCTGAATCAAGCAACCTACAGATAACTCACGCCTTTTGAGTCATATCTTCCGCGTTCGACTCTACTATCGGTTCGTCCTTGATCTTCATCAAATCCTCTTCTCAATCAGAACTGACTCTACTTGTTACGATAACCAGATGCGGCAAGATTCCGAATCGCTCTTCAGACTCCATTAATTTTGGAAGTAGCAAGACTCCCAATGGTACAGTACTAATTAGATTGACCGTAATTGTAATCAGATGTCCCTCTTTCATGATTCGTTCTGCTGAAGCCACCCCAGTGTTCTCTACCCCCACATCAATTCTATCAAGTTCTTCGATTGCTCTTTTCTCGACAGCTATAACGGAAGCGTATGAAGATAGATCAAGCTCCAAACCTTGGCTACACCAGAAATTCCGGTTGGTGATTCAATATCAGCCAGAGCGCGAAGACCGAAAGCCGGGTCACGTACTGCCATGATCACGGTGGCAGAGCCCAGCCGAACAAGGTGTCTAGCAGCTTCAAGCCCGAGACTGGTGTTAGCGCCGGTAACAGTATAAGTACTACCTCGACATGTCTCGGCAGTAACGAGGAGCAGAAGATTATGAGGTTGTGTCACAACTGCAGCTGCCATCTTGTCTCGGGAATAGTTGTTGGATGGTGGTGAGTGATGAGTAAAAATGATTATTCTTAGATATGGATGGTTTCTGAATGAGATTGGTCTTGATAATTTAGATTCAACCACAACTAGAGGGTGAACAGCAAGTTATATAGATTTTTCTCGTATCGTTTCCCGTTGTTTGTTTCAACGCCCGAGTGAATAGCACGCATTCTGATGAGATTATCGCCATGACCAGTGGCCAGTCTTTTGTAAAATCCATGAACATTAATCTCCAAAATCCGAGATACGAAGCTCTTGCTACGCGTTTTGATGTACATGAGAGCTCAATTTGAGAAGTAAGCATCCACAAATGAATGAACCGCAGGAACGGGCCAATGAGAGAGTATTCTCCTGATCCCTACATTGCGAAGCGAGGTTGATTTTCCACTCGTGTAATACGACCTATCAGAGACTACTTTCCCTGTTCAGACTAGCTCGATGCGAGGTCTGTGGCTAGGAATTTATGATTGCGTTTATTGAGAAGGATCGAGCTGTAATCAAAACTCCTCTCATTAGATCAAATTTCATTGACTATGTTTATACAAATTTTGACGTGACGGGCAACAATGATCTAGTTGCATTCTATGTTGTCCCGGCCTACACTTCATCGATGGAAATGCCATCTTCACCATCGAAGTTCATCATTTTACTATGCTTTCTAGAACAATGATGATCTGAATGGCAACAATGAAGGTAAAATTAGGCTCCCTATATAATTCCAATGAATTGGGGTTGCTAGACGATTGGGAGGTTTCAAAGAATTGGCAAGTCCACTGAATTTACCTTCATTGATATTATGAGCCCAATGTGGGATATAATCCAGACTAGCTTAATTATTTTACTGAAAGGAGAAGAAATTGTTCACCCTAATAAACCAGAATTTCTTGTCCTAGAATCAATCGATGAAACGGGTACGAGGTGTATCCTGTATTGAAGGCTACAACTTAGCACTTATGCATATCGATAGAAGCACGCATCGTGGTCTGGATACGGAGAAAGCGGAAAGTATTCAGGACTCTCGCAATATCCATCACAACTTATGGCTACTGGATGCTGAGCCAAAAGGTACGATATAGGGGCTAAGGACAGGTATCTTGCAAGAGATTGTTCATTTCTTTCAACAATTGTAATCGATTAAATTGGCTAAATGGGCAGGGAACTACCTTCACGTAGAAATCGCATATATGAATAAGTTCATGACCCTTTCGCAGCTCATTTTCGCATGCAGCGCATGACGTCTAAAGACTTGACAACGACTCGTAGGACAAAGGTATTGCTAAACATGATTCATTCTTGCTATTCTGGTCATTTGAGTCCGAATTTCACCCTCTGGATGTCACGAATACCTTCGCATATCATCCTTTCCGAGTGTAATCTTTCATTGAACCAATCAACTTGAACTAGAACGCTACCTAATTATGCTCTAGACGCCAGATTGGCCTCTTCAATTTTGACCACTCGAAATTTGTCGTGATGCTCTACATTGAAGAGCCACTTGCAGAGGTAGGCAATCATTCACGTGGAGCTTGAGGACTGAAGCGCTCTCAAACAAATGTGCCCTTTAAAGTAGAAAGAGACGCAATGAATGCTCAAGGATTCCTTTGCTCATCGAATCCTCGTTCCTCTTCGCTTTTCGCAATGCCAGAAGCAAGGGATCGTGTTTGAGGTCAACTACTAATCTTCTCGCTGGGAAAAGATAGTGCTTTGCCAACATACAATAGGTAATTATGTTTTCTGGCTAGTTGGAACTCTCCAATTTAGAGATCCTGATCTTGATGTCCGTATATGTGGCCATGGATGTTCATATCTTTTCGTCGGGATGCATAGAATCGATGCTTTGATGCTGGTGTAATATGCCCTCTCTTCCATCAGAACTTTCATGCAAAACAAAGCTATGCGAGTTTTATGAGGGATTTCGAGCCTTCGGACTATACTCCGCTCGAGGCTGTAGCTCGTATGAATAAGAATCTTCGATGTGCGATATCTCTCAATCCGTAGGATATCTCGGATCGTACATCTCATACCCGTATTGTTCGTCATCGGTATCGCTTTCTAAGCCATCTTCCTTGACTCCAAGGCTTCTGCCTACTTGGATCTTCTCTTCAATCTCATGATTCACGGGTGCATCAGCTCCGCCCCCGTCAGCCGGGGCAAAAGCACTTTTAAATCCCGATTTCTTGAACCCCCCTTTCTTGAAACCTCCAGCAGTAGATCCAGTGCTTGAGCTTGTTTCTCCACCCAACTTTATTGAGATCAAACCAGACTGCGAGTTTGCTTTCGCTTCCGCCTTTCGAGCTTTGCTAGAGGCCATCGGATCGCGTGTTAATTGTCGCATGTCCTTCAGACGTTGTTTATGAGAGTGGTCGTATGAAGAGAGATGAGCCTCATACTCGTTCATTCGAGCGTACCCTTTGCTGCATAATTCGCCTGTGGATGTGAGAGAATGTATGGAAGGTAAATGGGGCTATGATAACCTACAATAGAAAGATTTGACAGCCTCGCGAGCACTTTCAGTTTTCGGGGCCGGATTCGTGAAAGCACGCTTGAAGATGACATTAGTACTTTATTCAGGCAATCAATTTCGGCGTGGGATAATTTACTGGGGGCATCTTTGTGATAGTGGTGGGGGGTTTTGCTGTTTTGTGTTGTGTTGTGTTGTGTTGTGTTGTGTTGTATATTGTAACCTCTTTTCCTTTCTTGCGCCCAATGTTCGTCAAACACACATCTTACGTGTTGCATTACCACGTGATTGACTAGGAAAATTAAGGTACGATCCAAGCTTTATAACCTTAAAATCTATCCGATCCATACATCTTCAACACATTTCACACTGACTATCTAGTTCCTATCTAGTTACCAACTAATAAGTAACCCGAAACTCTTTTTGTAATTCATTTTACCATTGTCATCATTTTCTTGCCTTTTTGAGATATTCCATTTCGTTGATACCGAGATCTCACACACACTTGCATACACTGTAGAATATGGAACAACGGCGAGATTCCATCGCTTCAGACGATACTTTTGTTGATCTTCAACAATTAGATCCTTCACCTATAGATTCCCCGCTTGACTGGGATGAAAAACTACCCGAATTGCCTTCATATGCCTCGTTTGGAAGATCCTCGACGTTAGGACTTAGTGGTTCCGGTCATGGAGCTGTATATTATCGTGAGTGCTATTTGTTGTAAATTGCCATCATAGGTATGGTCTAACAATGAAATAATGTGATATAGTCACACGTATACAACGTTACTCGTCGTACGCCTTTTCAGTCTTTAGTGCTTTGCATATCACGAATACCTCCATAATACCCCTCATTACACGTTCGGTGCCTGCTTCTGAAAAGTACTTATTACTGACTCGCCCATACTATCGTAAGTACCTCTTTTGCTAAGCTTTGTCTAAAGCTGTATCCCTCCTCCCAAGCTTCACGTAGCCCCACTAACTCCGCAACAGAATCCTTCCCTCTCGAGCCATTACTCATTGGTCTCCCTCTCGCCGCTCACATAACTTCTGGCTTCGCATTACGTCTCTATCGCCGCCGTGTATCTGAAGAACGCTACTCCTCCCATCAACCGTCCAGTTCTCTTTCATACTTTTCCTTCCTATCACCGAAGTTCTGGCCCTCAATCTCGTACACCTCTATTTCAGGCTATGTTCTCGCTCCTCTTGTAGCTTCTCATATGTTTGTTAACCGAGTCATTCCTTTGGTACATGAGGGAGGATCATCTGGCGTTGGGTTGGGATACGTTGCGCATGGCTTTGCCAAACATCCTGTGATTTCTTGGACGACGTATGTAGCTTTAGTAGGATTTGGGGCGGGTCACATGGTCTGGGGCACAGCAAAGTGGTTAGGGTTACTACCCAGAGGAACCGAGAGGGAAAGAAGAAGGAGGTGGTGGAGTCTCAATGGCATTGTTGGTCTTGTGAGCCTTATCTGGTATGCCGGTGGATTGGGGGTCATTGCACGAGGTGGTGCGGAAACCGGTTGGGTCGGTTCTGGATACGATGCTCTTTATCAAAAAATCCCACTGCTAGGATAGAACCGGTGCGCAAAATTTGGTTCGGATTCTAGTAACATTCTGAATCTTTTAGCAGCACAGCGAGGTGTTTGCTTTTAGCCTTTAACTTAAGATTTCAGGAAGGGCAGATGAATGTGGCCCTGATGGATAGACGACTTTATGTCATGTATATACGAACATACCGCTCCGTATAAGACGATCATGATGGGATGAATCCGAGTGGGTAGAATGGAGTCATTTGAACGGTGGCAAAACCTTCGCCGCAGTCCACGTTTCCTTCCAACTCTTTCATCGTTTGTACAAACACATGTTTTCAGTGACACGCCCTCTCTCCAGTTGAATTGATGTAATCTTACAGTTGTGATCACACCAATCTGAATCCAAATCAAATGGTTATAAATATATGTAGGACACATCTTTGTTGTCATTTTGACCATAACAAGAGACTATACAGCTGTCCCTAACACCCACGCATGTCGACAAGAAGATGTCTTCGTTTGGAGCTGTACGGGTGTTAAGTGGATATCGATCAAATAGGGCCACAATAATTTGACACTTAGAGTCCAACTAATAACAGAAACACCATAGAAGCACGCGACACATTGCGGGACTTGTTGAGAACGTTGTAATTAGAACTTGATTTATTTATCTCGACATGACATGCTCAACTCCCACAACTATATACAACACAGCAGCAAGTTCCTCCACGTCGTTGAAAAGGTACAAAGCTACAACATATAAGAAGACGCCCTTACGCCACTTGATGTTTGACACATTCATCCAGCCATGTTCCCATCCATCCAGCCATGTTCCCATCCATCCCTTTTTTGTTGTTCCCAATAAACTCCACCCATAAGCCAAGCATGAAACATATGTATCCACACCATGCTGCACCCATCAAAAGCGAACGCCAATCAACTCGCCAAGTATTATTGCCCCAGTCCATGATTCAAGCATACCAGCCCTTAGCGCCAATATTACTATTGTCTTGTTCTTCTCGATGATCGATCATGGGTTCTTTAATATCAAAAAGGTTGATCATTTCTTGCCAATCTTGCATATCGAGGGACAGGACTGCTTGATGTCTTGCTGTATGGGAAGAACTTCCGTTGTCTTTTGGATCCCTGACGCCTAAGTACTCTATCAGCTATCATTGTCATCTTGAGAGGCATGAGAAAACATACCTATGTATGGGAGACCATCCGAGTCTATTTCAACTTCTACTTTGCCGTCTCGAACCAAGAAGCTCACATAAAACATGTTCTCAATCGTCTGGCCGAAGGAAAATGGATTGATGACAAATTTGAAATATGCAATGCTACAATTCTCCGATATACCATACCTTTCCCTCAGCGCTGCACCATCTTCTTCGGACATGTCTTCTGTAGCCTCCAGCTCAGCAGCATGCATGGCCTTGGCCTGGACTTCCTTCAATCTGTCTTGAATTTTTGTGCACAAATAAGTTAGATTTGCATTCTCCGATTTCTCTATATCATCTGCTCTCAAAACCTCGGGTTGTATTTCGTGAAGATTGTTCAGTCTCAGAGGAGCTCTTCGAACAATAGTCCGGCGGGCGCGCTTTTGTAAAGACAAGGGGCCGAGAAGAAAACCGGGCACTGATGGGCGAACATTGTTCGGTAAACATGCATTACGCCCGAGATGTTCCCAGTTGAGCATCTCTCCATCATTATCGTTGTCGCTATCATCTTCATCCACGGCACCGTTCCGGCGATTCCGCTGAGTATTACGTGGTGCATGGTCCTGCGAACGTTCGCCCCTTCCCATATATAACTTAATTTTAGAAACAAAGTCATCCACGTCGACTCCTTGTGCCGTGTCACCAGAAGTCATTCGCAGCGTCTTCTTCTTGGCGAGATCTGCAGTACTAACAAGCAATCGTGAATCGATTGTTGCATCCGAGGTTTGTTTGACTTTCTCTGATAGTTTATTTGCTTTGAGCAAAGTATCCTTGATGCCCGTTGATTCTGCATTAAGATACTCGGCACGATTGTCTTGCAGAGTCTTTGAAAGATCCCTCAACTCGGACCGAAGCTTTCTTCTCTCTTCGACACTTTGATCTGGATCATATTCCTGTTCCGCCTCATCGTCATCTTCAACTGCTTCAATTGTGCGCCTTCTTTGGTTGCGTTGTGTTGAATGATCTCCCTCGCCGGTGGTTGCAGTGCGCTTTCTCTTGCTGATGGGTGATGGTGCTTTTGGTGGACCCATGGGAAAACTGATGGCGCGACCTTTCCCCTTATGGATTGCATTTCTCGAAGAGTGGTTCTCTTTATCGGATGAAATAGAAGCGGCTGGCGAAGGAGATAAAGCCATGTTATCGGAAGTCCTTCGTGGATAACTTGGCCCGGGGGATGCTTCGTACAAATCATCGCCAAAATGAGGGGCAGGAGATTCCGAGATCTTTATTCTAGACATGGCGAGTTATTGTGGAAAATTTGACGCAGTCCAAATTTCCGTTAAAGGTTTTATAATTAAACGGACGCGAACATGCAAGACGTGGTTGCGATAAGTGAATAACCTCGCGCGTCCAGATCGCGTTTGATACTTCGTGTTCCCGAACGAAAGTTCCCGATAAGATAAAGAATTGCGCTTGTCGAGTGATAGGAATTTGATGGTTCAAATTGAAAGTAATTTGTTACGGTGTTATTTCCATGATCATATGATACTGCAGGTTCCCAAATAACACGTTCGCCGTCGGAAAGAGAGAGAAGTAAAGAGAAGGACAATAAAGGGTGATATGGATTGAAGGGGATGGGGGAGAAGGAGGAGAAGGTGTACCGGGATACCTCGTAGCCTTCAATCAAAAAAGGGCAGGTCGCGTCATGGGGATCTATCATGTGACATTACTTCAACCGATATTTCAAGTCCCTCAGCCCTGATGCCGGCGAGAGGGTCGAGATGGCGAAAGGGCGAAAGGGCGAGAAGAGATCAATTTTGGCGGGGCGGTACTAGCGTGACGCGTGGGCGGAATTATAATGTTCCGATAGCGCTGTGGGGAAGTGCAGTGCACAGGCATCGTAGGATCACCAGTGGATGTGATACCGATGTTACCTCATCTCATATCATACACAACAATAACCGTAGGTCATAGTCATACCAACAATTCATTGTATCTGTTTCATGAAATCTACGGCTCCAACTATCTCTGTACTACAATTTCAAATCCCGCGAGCTTATAAAGTAAGCAGTTAACATTAGAAATTCATTCTTACTTCTCTTCCAAGTTACTAGGTACTCCTTCTGCCAAATATCCGTGGAACATGGATCATGGAACCCTTCTCCTTTGCAAGTTCAGAGGCTCTGGATATTCCAGTAAACATTAGAATGTAAGTCGAATGTCCACACGACATCTTAGCATGCTTGTTTGCAACACTGCTTTATGCACACCCACTAAGCACTGTATATATAGCGTCAACCTTGAAGGGGAGCAGACCCCAATTCCATTTTCTACACTTATAAATCGACCGGACTTGAGACATATTGGCTCCAATTTGAGGTAAGCTACCTGTGTATACGTTCCTATATTACTTTTCGAACTAGAGTATACTGACACCATTATTCTATCGCAGCCCTCACTCGGATCTTTATGTCACTGTACAGTTATGGGCTGATTCGAAACCATTAACCGTACCCGTTCAAACAGCTTATAAATCATTCAAAAATGAGAGAAAGTGAGTAACGAAGGTCACTGAAAGACTTGAGCATTGCTAACTGTAGGGAAGATGGAATGAATGGCTCACCTTGCCCATAGACTGTTCAACGATACCTTTGAGCTCTCAACTTGCGATCACTGTATGGGATTTGTCTCCAACGGGAGGTGATGGGGCTCAAGGGCATGCTGTGCCATTCGGTGGGACAACCTTAAGGTTGTTCGATAAAGATAATCAGCTGCAAAAAGGTCGTCAAAAATGTCATTTGCATCGTCGCAAGGCAGCAGATGGCCTGGATTCCTCCTCAACGCCCGCAGTCCTACCTAATGTGCGCCGCACCGGATCTAGATCGAAGGGAGAAGCTGAAATAATCGACAAAGAGAGTGAAGAACTAGACAGGTTGGAGAAGTTATTCAAAAAACATGAAATGGGCGAAATTGCACGTATCGAATGGCTAGATCAATTGGTTTTCAGAGGAGTAGAAAAGCGAGGTCTTCAGGCGTCTAGTACCTCACTCAAGAACATACAGCGCAGAAGGACTCGACAAAAAAGTGTGATTCTGACTCTAGATGGGGCAGAAGAGAAGAACAACGATGTCGACCATAATTTGTCGGAGGACCATCCTTCCAAGGATGATCGGTTCACTCTTCATGTTGAGCTACCCAGATTCGACTTCCCGGTTGTATTTGCCGACCACGAATACCCGCCGCCACCTATATCTTCGCTACAGAATCTTTCTTCTTCTCAGTCAAACATTATCCTTAAACCTCCCCCGCAAGTTCAATTCGGTCCAGGCATTAATGGCTTCGGGGACAATGACGAGCACGGCTTTGGCGGACGCCTTGTAAGAGTCTACGACCCTGAAGTTGGGGCCAGGGATAACCCCGCGGAGAGTAAACATCGTCGCCTGGTTCGAAGTCACAGAACTGGGGTCCTAGATCGTGACCTCAAGCCAAATGCCAAAGTCCGAGATGAATTAAACAATATTATCGCATATTCGCCAACACACTTCCTATCACCAGAAGAAAAAGATCTTGTCTGGAAATTTAGGCATCATCTTGCGCGGGACAAACGGGCACTTACCAAGTTCATCAAATCTGTGAATTGGAATGACCCAAACGAAGCCCGTGAAGCAGTAGCCATGTTAAGCAAATGGACCGAGATTGATGTTGATGACGCTTTAGAGTTATTGGGACCAACATTTGAAAATTCTTCCGTGAGGGCTTACGCCGTGGATAGACTACGAAAATCTGACGATGACGAGCTCTTGCTCTATCTGTTACAGCTAGTACAAGCCCTCAAATTCGAGCATATTTCACCCGATTCGGCTGAAGATGCGACACAGGATTCTTCCCTAGCACGACTACTTATTTCAAGGGCAACAAATAATTTCCAGCTCGGTAATCTCTTTCACTGGTATCTTATGGTGGAATGCGATGACAAGAGCGAAGATCAAGGAGCTGGCTATCGTAAACTATTTGCCAAGGTTGAATACGATTTCATGACCGAATTGGTGAAGACGCCCGAAGGAGTTGAGACTCGAAAGGTTTTACTACGCCAGGCAGAGCTCGTTACGATGTTGTCTAGAGTTTCTGAAGATATAAAGTCTTCACGGGATACAGTATCTCGCAAGGCCGAGAAGGTAAAGCAGTTTCTTGCCGATCCTAAGAATGAACTTATTACTATAGACCCACCCCTACCTCTACCGCTTGACCCTTCGATTATGATCACCGGCGTGGATCCTTCGGAAACGAATGTTTTCAAATCATCGTTGTTTCCAATCATGATAACTTTTAAGACGACAACCAAACAAAAGTATCAAATCATCTTCAAGACAGGAGACGATTTGCGCCAGGATCAGTTAGTCATTCAGATAATTACACTCATGGACCAGCTGCTGCAAAAAGAGAACCTAGACCTGAAGTTGTCACCTTACAAAATCCTTGCGACTGGAGCAACTGCAGGAGCTGTCCAATTCGTTCCGTCTATGACCTTGCAGAGCATTGTCAATAAGTTCAAGGGCAACACTGTACTTAATTATCTCAAATCTAATAATCCTGATGACAAGGCATCTCTTGGTGTTCGCAAAGAAGCCTTGGATGTGTTTATAAAATCGTGTGCAGGATACTGTGTGATTACATATCTGCTTGGTGTGGGCGATCGTCATCTAGACAACCTTCTTCTAGCACCAGATGGTCATTTCTTCCACGCCGACTTTGGCTTTATACTTGGCAGAGACCCCAAGCCATTTGCTCCTGCGATGAAACTCTGTAAGGAAATGGTAGACGGGATGGGAGGATCTATGTCGGAACATTACCCGCAATTCAAACAGTACTGCTTCACGGCCTACACAACATTACGGAAATCTTCAAACCTGATTCTCAATCTCTTCAGTCTGATGGTCGATGCCAATATTCCAGACATTAAAATTGAGCCGGACAAGGTTGTTTTGAAAGTCAAAGAACGATTTCATTTAGAATTGAGCGAAGAGGACGCAATTAGGCATTTTGAAAGGTTAATTGAGGATAGTGCGAATGCGATCTTCCCAGTCGTCATTGACAGGTTGCACGGTTTTGTACAGCATTTCAGGTAGAAGGTATTATCAGCGATCAAGGTCGAGCTGGAGTTCGGCGTCTATGAAGTATCGGATTTAGACCATAATTCACATTTAATTATACTCGTCTGTAGTCTGCTAGCAATCTAGATCAAGACTATACACAATAAACGTATAAAATTCACCGATGGCAGTTCTTGTAAAACAACCCCTTGGTCTTTTGAAGTTCGAGCATGTTGTATCATAGGTGGATGATGATCAGAAGTTGTGAAGTGGCACTCGCCTACCAAATGTGTCACCATTTCCTTCGGTGAAGAACTCGGTCTTATAACATACCCGGGGAGCGATTCATGTGTGACTTGTATCATTTTCTACTTTGATCACTGTTCTTATAGATACTCATTCTTTTCCGACATCAAGATAGAAGTACTAAACCCCCAAAAGCAAAATGGTTTAATTTCATCGTTGCTCAGTATAATGATTTCGAACCCTCTCATGGCAAACCACTCTAAAAAATTCCACTCAATTTATGGAAGTTCAACTTGTGGCAGGTCTCCAATCGTCTTGTCTATACACCTTTTTTATAAATTTACCTATAACTATAAGGTGAGCTCTTCAATCCATTGATTGGTAAGTGGGTCAATCCTCGAAAAGGGCAAGGAGTTTCATAGGAATATCACACTCGCCGTTTTCCATCCTGAGACCACATATTGATCCTTGGAGAATGAAAATCTCGTTCAAAATAAATCTTTCAGATGAACCCCATGTTAAATGGTAATAAATGAGCCGAGTTCAAGGTTATGTATTGTACGCTCGGCCCATATTCCTGTCGTATCGTACCCCAGTCGTCAAAGCCATCAAGTTCCCTGAACATAATACCAAGCTGAGAATATTATTGCATATGGTTTGGATTCAAGGGGGTGATCTGGTCAGTCACTTGGTCTAGTAATAATGCGTTTAGATGCATGAGTTTTCTCGACAAAACTCTGAGTCCTGAATTCTGGACCTCGAACTAGTATTGAAAAAGTGTGGATTTAGATTTGCTTATCCTAGAGTTATATTGAGCTTAATATGGACGTGCGGATTTGACTGGCTGGGCTGGGATGTGATTGCACTGGTATGTATCATTGTCAATATCTAGGATCCGAATTTGTATTTGTATCAAGGGTCTGACAGAAATGACAGCGGTGGATTTAGGGTAGAGGGTAGCTAGTTCCCGTCACGGCTGTCACAAAAACTTATTATCAGTAGTTTAAACGTGCCCTACACTTATTTCGGAAAGGGCAGGTAGCCAACTACATTAATAGCTTTGCAGCTATGTAGCCCTTGCCTTTTCTCCGTCTTTCTCTTCAAATATTCGTGTAGCATCTTGTCCTTTTGCATAAGCTCAAGAGGAAGATATAGAAAAATCCATAAAGTCTTCTCGCTTTACATGAAGAAGAGCACTAGCTCGTAGTAAATTCGGCTGACGCGGAGATCAATCATCGTCGAAGAATTCGAGTACCAATTTTTGAAATGTCTTGCTATTGCGCAAACTACTATGTGAGTGCCAGCATCCCAAACCTGCCAAACCTCCACTCTCTTTGTACGTAGAAATACGCCTTATGCTCATATGACAGCCAGGGCTCCCTCAACTGCCAGAATATGGTTTTGAAATTTGGTGATCAGTGCAGGTCATGTCTTGTGAGCTCGAGTCCCTGTTCATTCTTCAAGAATTCCAATATGGAGGACTAACCTCGCCCCAAGGCTCAATCTCCAAGTCATGATGGAAAGTTTGAATGGAGCGATGCACTTCTAGGTCAGCAGTGGCTAGAGAACTCCAGTAAGGAACAGATGAGAAGAGATGAGGATAAGTCTAGGAGGGGCAGAGCTAGAAGGGCTGTAAAATGAAGTTGCTAGATAAGGTAAAAGGTGTGAAAGAGGAATGAAAGGTTGTAATGGTACAATTATATTAGATCTGTGGATAATCGGTAAAGGTGGGGTCATGAAAGGGTATATAGAAGCGATATGGGTGGATGGGTGGATGAAAAACTAGGTGCTGTGATTGGGTGAGAAGGGCACTTGGAGCTGAACTTGATTCTGCAGAGGGAATAACGTTAATAATCTTTGGTTGTTTGGAGATTAACGGATTATCTACAGCTTCCATCTCACGTTTCCAGGCCTGGGTGGAGGAAAGGTTCAGTAAGCAAGAAAGAAAGCAAACAAACGAACAAAAGCCAGTGGATGAGTTATGGGTGAGCTGGTGTTCAATCAATAGTGTAATTGACCTTAATATGAGAGTGATTTAACGATCTCAGAAGGAAATGTTTCCTGGGTATAATATCTTCGAGATCCAAAACATAAACCGAACTCCCGGGAAGGATCTTCGCCAATGTTACGAACTATCCTGCTTAGGAGAAGAGAGTTTATCTGATGGATCCACATCCATTCTTCTTCCCTCTTCCATTGCTTCCTCCCCAAATCCCTCCCCTAGACTGTCTGCGCTCTCTGACTCCGCGCCATTCTTCATCACCTCAATCTCGCCCTCACTCTCATCTAGCAAATCCTCAATATCTCCCAATGGACTAATCCTGGGCTCCAGCACCTCTAAGTCTTCTAATATCTCCCTCTTTGGCATCTTCCACAAGGTCGTCCCACACACCCTATCCTTCGTCAACAGATCGTCCACGAACTGATCCATGAATGTTAACGTTGTGCCTGTCCTTGTCTTCCTTCTTAGCTTTCTCTTATCTTCCAAATAACCTTCTAACATAGTGTATACATCTTTTGCCTGTCTCGTCATCCTCCAATAAAACAACGCTAATGCCCTCAAGTACTTGAACTTCTCTCCACCATACCCCATATATTCTTTCAGTATATCGTCACTGGGGCCTAATTGTAGTAACTTAAAGGCAAGACATAAAAATGGCGAAGGTCGTTGCGAATCCCCGTATGTGCCAGCGATGAATGTTACGTGAGAAACAACACGCGAAACAATATCAGCTTCGTTGAGAGCAAAACATTGGTCTTTCCAGAAATAACAATCGACAATGCGTTCGCGCACAGGTTTCTCGAGGATGGTAGCAGGATTGAGGCCGTTGGGGGCAAGAGGACCAGTGTTGCCGCGTTCGTCGAGGAAGCGCTTTTCATCGGCGCGATGGGTAGCCATTCCGAATGAAGAGAAGTTTTGATGCGATTCGATTTATATTTGGAAGCTGGAAGAGGCAGAGGTAGAGAGACTCCGAGATTTAATTCAGAGTCATTGAGTGGAATGTTAGTTTCACTTGGTATTGTGCCTCCCAGTAGCGTTTTCCTAAGATGGGCTCGAGAAGAAGTAGATGATGATGGTGACGGTGGTAGTTTTTCTTATCACAATGGCTGATGCGAGTAATTGATAATTAGATAGTTGATAGTTGCTATGTCAACCAGTCACCAAATATTTTTTAATCTTGCGCGGAACGAACCCAACGCATCATCGTGCGTCAGTATCGATAATCTATCTGATGGTTATGTACTCGTAGGTATAAGTTAACCATATAAATATGGCACATAGTTGTATATAAATCACGGAATTGTATCAACTCCTACGAAACATCCCACAACACCTCATTACACTACACTACACTCCTTTGATCAATTATATTCATCATATGCTGTGTTTGTACTTTCTATAAGAAACCTCGACTCGACAACTCGATTTTGAATTACCAAATCCAAGTCACGTCGCAAAAACATGCTCCTAACATCTGGGCAAGTTTCCGTCGCGATCTCTTCCTTTATCGGTATGTGCGAGTGATTACCTCTTCTCCGCGTTGCTACAAATAGCATTTTACAAGCACTGTCAAGCACCAAGGAATTCTTTCCTCTTAACGATGGTTATTGAAAGCTAAGCTAACGAGTAACCGTCAGTATTTTTCTTCACGACCGCACTCTTTCTCTCCGGTTATGTCCTCCAACAGCAAACAGTGCGTGATCTAAGAGAAGCTATCAAGCCCCAATTTCAAGCAAAATTGGTGGGGTTGGAGGTTCCAGATAATCTAAATATCAAAACCGATAGGAGTGGAAGGAAAGGTCAAGTTGAGGTTTTTTTGCCCGAAAAGTTTCAGAATGATGCGGTGCAAGAAGGAAACATAAGAGCTGAAAACAGGAGAGATGTAGAGGAAGAGAGTTACGGAGTGGTTGAAGAAAATGAAAAGGCGAGCGGGGAGGAGAATGGAGAGTGGAGTGAGGTCGAGCTTGAGGAGAGTGTCATCAAAATACAGAAGAACTACAGAAGTGTGGAGGGTGAGGGTGATGGTGTTGAGTCGGTGGATAATACAGACAGTGCTAGGAGGGGAGAAGGGGGAGAGATTACAATTCCAGAAAAACCGCTAAGTCGTGCAGAAAGGAGGAGGAGGATCAAAGAAGAGCTCGTGACATCAGGGGAAGGGGAAACCTTCAATGGGTATCGAAGACGTGTTCCGGGCGCTTGACTTTGAATTGCATTTTGGGTGTATTAGTACAAGGGAAGAGGAAATATTATGATGGGATGTATCATATAGATCTGGAGTTTGGAGCGGTTGAATTGGACTAATTCAGAGCAGACATACCATGTAAGCAGAGAGGATGTATATCTTCATTGTATTCATTGTAAGAGTTCTGTAACCTACTCACAACATACTATGGTTTTGCAATCAAATGCCTGCAAGATTCGTGTTTTCCTACATAAATTAAGAAAATCAATAATGTCGTCAATTCGTTTTGTTTTATTCCAGAAATTCAATAACATATGATTGATGTTATTTGTCAAGTAGTACCTAGTCGTAGCTGCTGATATATAAACCCTTCGATTTTGAATCAATTAAAGAAATCGTATTATCTCAAGTAATTATATATTCATTTATAATCTAGAAAAAAAAATTGGGAGTGATTTCGGTTCTATTGAAAACTAATATACAGGTAAATTTTATTAGAGGTTTGAATTCTTAATATTCTTACTATGTATAAGAACTATAATACTATATATATTATATCGTATAGTATAGTTACGTTCGATCAGATTAGTATAGTTACTAAGCGTCGAGCTGATTATATATAACGTAGTTTATTAGTATATGTATTATATTAGTACCTACACTACTTCAAAATTATACTAAAATCAGGGTTTTTTTAATATTTATATCTTAATAATTAATCATTATTTTAAAAGAGAACTAAATATTTGATAAAAATTATAATTTAAATATTCAAAAATTTAATTTTTATATAAATATTTTCATTATATTTTAAAAAAAGATTGAAATTGTTACGATTTCGTTACAAAAAAACTTTTTTTATAATAACTATTATATTAAATCAAATTTTTAATAATTGATTAGAAGTTCTTATTATTTATATAAATAATTATAACGTTTTTTAGGAAAAATTAAATTATATTAATAAATAAAGAAAGTGTACGATTATATATAAACGAATTTTATATATAAAATAAGTAGTATACGTACTAATATAATGTACGTACTAATAAACTACGTTATAGCTTTATGAATTCGTAGAAGTAAATTAATTAAATATATACTCCAGTTGTATTATATAGTGATATATATATATATATATAGTAAGTCATTTTTATGTTTTGTATATTTATAAAACCCCTTCTAATTAATTATAAATAATATATAAAACTTTTAATTGATTAGAGTTAGTTATTCTGATTATATAGAGGGGAAAACTCAAGTAAAGAGGAAGAAAAAGCTTATAATAGCTTATAAAACCTATTATATTACTTTAATTCAGTATGTAATTCATAAATGAATTAGTAAACTAATTAAAAAATAAGTAATTGAATTAGAGTAATTAAGGACTTTCTAATAGTATAATTACTTTCAGTATCAAGTTTATAATGTTAGTAAAATCAATTAATTGAATTGAAAATATTGATTGAAATATATTTAAAAATGTATTTAGAGATGTATTTAAAGATGTATTTATAAGTAGGAGTATCATAGCTTGAGGTATATTTATATTAGATATTTTATAATATTAGAAATAGAATTTATATTAGCATCTGAATTAGAGCTTATATTGATATTTGAATTAGAATTTATATTAGTACTAGTCGTCGGGGAAGAAGAATTTAAAGTCTACAAATTCGTAGGGTTTCAAAATTATATCCCCTAGACCGTTATAAATGAACTTCGAAAGTAGTCCACACGTTAAGCAAGAACATTATTAACTTTATAAATAATATTAATAATAAGGAAATCAACAAATATATAATATATAATAATTCTATTCATATGATTTTAATTAATATGGAATTTTATCATGTTAATATAAGAACATCATGTTTAGAAATTCCCTCTATTTCGAAAGTAGGGATTTATTTCAAATCTATAAATTATATCGATTTTGATTAAAACTTATTCTATAAGCTATTATTCAATATATTTTATCTCTACTTTTCTATTATAATAATAGAGTTGATTATAAAATAAACGAATTGATATATACGAATATCGAAAGATAAAGAACTTTCGAATTCGTAAACATTTTAATAATATACTATCATAATGAATAAGGTTTATCTATATTTAGGCATATATATATATATATTAATTCATATTGAATTTAAGCTTAAAACTTATTGAAAGTATAATAAAAATATCAATATATCTTCTTTTATATATTTCATAATAAGAAATAGTTTTGAAAAGCTTTATATAAGATAGTATATTAAATCCTCTAAAACAAATAATATTTTTAAAAGAATGAGATATCAATTTATTAATTTATATGCTATATATTAATATACTTGTTTATTCGTAAATCTATTATCAAATTGTATTTAGATTATTAACCTTTCAATGTAAATATATCAGAATTGAATATTGATTGACGAATATACAATATAGTATTTTGATCGATCAAGCTTTATTATTATTATTAAAATTATATTTTTATTTATAGAACTTAAGATATAAATAATGATGAATTGAGAATTCTTTATAATAAAAGATTGATGTAAAATTAATAAAAAGAATAATTCTATAGATATATTTATATATTTTTTCAGGTTATGAAGGGAAAGAAATCTTTAAATGAAATATAAGTAATAATTATATATTAAGTATAGAGGTTATTTAAAGCTTTATGTTATTTTTATTATAATAATCCATTTATTTCTTATAATTTTTAAGAGTATATATATTATTTGAGATATATTGTAATAGGGATATACTAGTCTAATTCTGATATTTATAAATATTTAGTTAATTTGAAGATTTAAGATATTATAAGGAATAGTTTATTTTAAGATATTCCTTTTAAATAATATGTGTTTTATAATGTGAAAGGATAATGTAGTAGTTTTGATATGATTTATTATATAATGGAAAGATTCTTATCAATAGGATATATAAAAGATTGAAAATCATCTTTTTAAAAGCTAAAATAGCTTGAGTATTATTTGAAGATGAATACGAAAAAGAATTGTTTATTTCAGTTCTTTTTGATAATTATAAATATAATATAAATACTATCGATATAGGGGATTAATTATTGTTGGGACAGGGATCACGTGATTATGCTAGTGTTGACGCTAGTGTCTTCTAATATTATAATAATACGTTTTATAGTTCTAGCTTTTAGAATCTTAAGTAATATAACAATAATGTGAATTATAATACTATATTAACTTCATTATTCTTATAGTAATATTATAGATTATGAACCTAACACCTTAATTTTAATAATAATATATAATTTAAATTAAGATTAATATTTCTTTAAAGAAATACAAATTCTTATATCATTTTAATATGATTTGATATCTACCTTTATATAAATAAAAACAGTTAATAATATAATATCAATTTTTATATTAATTTTAATCTATATTTTATTCTTTATTATAATATATATTAAAAAGTAAAAATTAATAATATTCAATTCGAATTTAATATTATACTCTTCGAACTCAAACTTTATTATTCTTTAACAAAAATAATATCTTATTATCTACTTATCATTTATCAAATATAACAGGATTATTCACAAATTCTTTTATATTTTGAAAACATTACATCGAAAATATTGAATATCTAGCCCTAAAACAACTCAATAATATCAAATCCATTAAATTCACTACCAAGTCCCTAATTTCATTAAAGATTATATCTAATAATTATAAATTAATAGTAAATAAATAGGAAAATTATCCTTTTAATATTAATTATATAAAGAAAAGGGAAATACAAAATTTCCATAAATTTAAATTATATAAATACAAATCCAATAATTTTTATAATAAGGAATTATAATTGAATTATATTATAAATTTTAAGGATGTAAAATCAGAGTATTTTCTATTCATTAAAATATAATTACTATACAAACTATAATACAAACTTTATATATATAAACTATTTATTTAAAGTGAATAATTAATAAGGTACTAGTTGATATATGATTTATAATTGTCGGAACGTATGATCACGTGCTTAAGCGAATCACATGAGACTTCCCACTATATATATAATAAAAAGAATCATACCTTATTCTAGATTATTTTAATTTATATTAATCATTTTATATAGACTATACAATACTATATATAATAATTCGAATTAATAATTCCCTTCCCTCTAAATGATTTCAATACTAATTAATATTTACCTTCTTATTAAAGTGTTACGGGAGCTGCCTCTAGGGTCACGTGGAAGTGTCTAGAGATCTCTCGAGGTGGTTTAGACTAGACTTCAAGTAGGAATTCAATAAGGTTGTAACTGGTTGCAATTCTCGTAACTATAGTAATGAAACTAATGATTGTTCTTGAGCACGAAGCTCTACATTGTAATGAAATCTGTTCTCTTATATAGACCTTCCTGCTCTGCAGAACCTACAGTTCTGTCTTGTCTGGATCCTCTGGATCCTATGGATCTAGATGTTTATTCTTCGATCCCCTAGATCCTCTAGGTCCATCACGTGACTTCCTGACCATGTGACGCGGTATATTGGATGCCGTCGTAACATAAAGGTATTTATAAATTAAATCATTTTCTAAGATTTCGTACAAAAGTATTCGTACAAAAAATAAGAAAAATAATTTAAACCATTTAATAAGATATTCTTCAAAAAAACAAATAAGATTATACTAAACTATATTTATGTACAATCTATATAAAGGATTAGAATACTATATTCTTTATATTATCTTCTTCAATTAATATACTAAAAAGAGATCCCTAAATACAATTATATTTTTCTTTAAAATTGAACAAATTAATTGATTTATAAATTAGACTATTACATTTATATAATTCAATAAATCAATAGTTCAATTCATGTTCATTATATTCTATTCAAAGCTCAATATACTTTTCGAATTTGAAACCCTTCTTCTTCATACAAAAAGAATTATTCCACTACCCCTCTTCTATTAGGAATCTTTTATTAAACCCTTCTTCTTTACTTCATAATACAAAACGTCTCT